CTACTTTTCTGAATGCTCGACTCCTCGCTGCGTTGGCGCAATGTCTGATCCGCTCGCCTAATTCCCAAGAGTCACAGAGAATGTGACATCAAACTCAGCTGCAGGGACACAGTTCCCGACTTGAGCAATATACCCTTTGTGGTTACTAAAGCTATATTCATTCTGTTATCCGACTTTTCCAACACCATAGAGCATCTTATCCTCCAAAAAAAGAACCAGACTACATGCATTTTCCAAAACTATGGTTGGCCATTATGGACTTATGGGTTTAGTGAAAGGTAAAGCTTTTACTTGCACCAACTCGTGTAACCCATTTAAGTGAGCAGGGAGGGATTCAGCTGGACTACCTCACAAAACGAAAATGCAAAGCATTTCAGCGTGCTCCATGACCAATCAGATTCGTTGACAACAGCCACTGCTCAGCATGTTACAGTCACAGAATTCAAGCAGCATTCCAGAAACACTGCCATTAAGAACTGCCATTCTGAAAAAAATGGGACAAACACACACATGTGCAAACACACACACTGTTGTTGAGGAGTGCAGCTGTTGCTGTATGTCAAGTTGTACAAAAGAGCGCCATTTCAGTGCAATGGGGTCTGTGAAAAAGCACAGTCTACTCAAAACCGACTAAATTTTACTGCTTCAAATTTGAAAGATGTCAGCAAATACATAAATAAATACAAGAGATTTTAAGCAGGCTGATCACATAGTCTAGTGCACAGTTTATTGTATTAAAGTTCCCTAAAACAAACTAAATTATTTAACAATCGTGAGTCATTACTTAAATTGGGTACCAACACATATCTCCAACTTTACATGACTCAAAATACTGGGCAAGAAGGGGAAGATCACCTCACTTTGCAGAGCTGTTAATGAGTAGTTTCATGCAAAAGCATTCAAGAAAAAAAATGCAAGATTTACCTAATATTCACAGTAGCAGACTGGGGCTAAAGGGAGCTACAAATACAAGGATTTTCGGTCAGCTACATGACATAGCATGCTCACAAATCAAAATACTTTACGGTAGAAGTATCCTATTCCAACCACCTGCTTTTGTATAGGTAAAGTAATGTTCTGTGTCGACGGTGGACTCTAAACAGTCGTAAACAGCAACGCTGAATGTGATAAAAGTCGATCAACGTTTACCGTACACGGCTCCTAAATAATTCCCCACTACTTCGGTAGCCCAAAGCTAAGTCAAAACAATATCATTTTGTTAACTGCATAATGGCACAATTTTAACTGGGACTGCAGTTGGGCTATGGGTAATAAGCTAAGTTTGCTTGCTAGCTTCACCGCCTGCTAGCCAACGCGGCTGTCAAGCACTCGTGAAAAAAGCTCTGATAGTCCGAAAAGGTCTCGAGCGCTGAACGATAAAAACTTGTTTCGTGCCGCACAGTAAAGAACAACAGCGTCCGAGAACTAATTCGTCCCCTGAAAAAAAAAAGTGTCCAAAGTTGTATAGCAAGTTAGCACTTCCTCCCCAGCACGCTGCATTCCATTTGAATTGTTTGACAGTCATTGACGTGATGAGGATATACAATTGGGCACGAGACCAAGTTAAGTTAACCTCACTTTGCAACCCCGTGAGCAAAAAATAAAGCTGGCGGGGCCACAAAACTCACCAGTCTGTCCCTGAGGGTAGTACTTTACAGTAGATAAGCACCGACGTCTAGTATTGGTTGTAAATGCAACGACCTGAGCGGCTCTGCGTGTCCCCGGCCCGGCAGCAACAGTCAGAAAACAACACTGAAAACTCACCCCTCCCTCTGTATGACACCAGAAGAAAAAAAAAAGAAAAAAACGTATCATTAAGTACCGCCTCCTACTATTTCGATTGGTCAGTTTTAGGGATAGTGCAAAATAAGCCAATTAAATTGCCTTATTTTTGCCAATAGCTATCTTGCGAAAAATACAGCGGCAGCTTTCTTACATCCTTCATGAAATGGATATAAAAAGTGATGGTTTATGACCTCTTGGGTCAAAGTAAAATTCCCATTTTAGCTATATTTTCATTCAGAACATAATATGTACATTTTTAAAGTTAAATTACACATTCATAATTGAATAATACCTTACAGATGTACAACTTGAACACAGGGAGAACATAAGGATTTTGTATAGTGGATCACTACATAGTTAGCTGACATCTTTCTTTTTTACAAAAAAATTGTTTTTGTTTTTTTGTGCGAAACATATATAGCACAAATATAAATGGATTACGTAGTTGTTCCACACCCACTTGAGCAACGAGTCAATTATTTTGAACCTATGAAACACAACGCATAACGTAATCTTACAAAAATATATGTTGATTTTGAAATGTTAGAAGTATAGCACACATTAGAGTTAAAATATAGCTAGCATTGCAATAGCTGAAGTCAGAGAGCTTTGAGCATTTCTGTGCCTTGTGTTACTTAGCCCCGGGGGGAACTGTCACCAGGCTGTGGGATGAAATGCAAAGCAACAGGGACTCTCACATGCACACACTTACAGAGACAGTAAAAAATGTCAAGGCTCCACAGTCAAAACATTCATTCTTCTCAGTGCAAGGGCACATTTAGCTGTGCGCTGCCTTACCAAGATGCCATATTGCATGCTTGAGCCTTGAGAAAGCTCATTGTTGTCACAAGTGTGGTTTAAGGTATGCACAGGGTCATTTTCCTTGGAACTACAAGGACCAGTTGACTTTGTTGATCAGGAGGGAGGGTGTCAGGGTATACCTGCATATTTCACGATCCTGAGAGTGATTACTGTCACAGAGTTCCTTTTCCTTCATGGTAGAATCATCTTATTTTTAATGTTATGTTGTTTATGTTGTGAAAACAGATTTATGAGTTGCTTTTTGTTCATTAGAGACAGTCAAGTTCAAGTTTAAAAAGGCAGTGAATATTTTGCCATTGAAGGACAGTCCACAAGACTGCCTGTTTCAGGGTTTGAAATGCAAATACAAACTCTTTATCAAGGAAATCATCAAACAGCCACCAGGTTGTTCAGTGTAACTCTATCCACACATGACACCTAGTGGTGACTGCTTGCCCTTGTACTGCAACAACATTGACTTCGAGGATTGCACTCTGTGAGATAGTAGTAGAACAGACTGACTTGTTATCAGAACAATAACAAATTGTGTTTTCATCAAGTTTGCATATCCATAGATTATTTGAGTGAACTTTACATGTATCTTTTTGAAAGTATAATTAACCAAAAAACATTTACATGCCTTCTAAAATGGAAAGGTTATTTTTTTCCTTCTTCATCTTTCTTCTTTTAAAAAATGTTTCAGCATTTTGTTTTGTGTTTAGTCTAAACTCTCTGTTGTGACATAAAGATTTAAATTAAACATAGATACACTTAGATACAGTTCAGATTTACAGTAGTAGGATAGGCATTCCCTCAGTAACAACAGCGGTCTGCATAACTTTGTGAAGCTTTATATTAACCCCATCACATCTAGGTTTTTTTTATTTCTTTTCAGCAATAACAGCCAGAATCAATACTTTTTTGCAGATGGTTGATTGATACTTTACAGTAAAAGTGTGCAATTGCAACCAAAAAATGCCATAACTGCATCTTAATTTGGGCATCACATACCAAATTTTAATTTTACAATTTGTTTAGGTAAGTATATTTGTTTAGGTAAGTACATTTGTAAGTAAGTATATCCTGTGACCAACTATAATCAGTAAAAAATGTGCTCTGAGCAGGATGTTAAAGTATTGTACAAAAGTCTTAAATTATTACTTATTTGTATTTGTATAGAAAAAGAAAGACTTCTTTGTCTTGTTTTAAGCTGATCTTAATCAGTATCTCTTCATCCTTTCCCACTTCCAGTTCCACATAAATATATATTTTCTGGTTTTAATTTTCCGTCAATTTAATTCAAATTCAGTTGACATTCTAGGGCACACTGCAACTGGAAATGTGTCGCAAAAACAATAGTTCCAAAATAACATGATGAACATAAATATTGGAGTTTTTGCACCAATAAGGTCATCCCCCAAAAATTATTAGCTGAAAAAAACAACAGTATACCAGCACAGTTAAATGTATCTTTAGAAAAATTAACAAAACTGCAGGTCTAAAAATGATCTAAAGAAGACGATCATGTGTCTGAAAGAATTTACAAAGAAAAATGAATCATTTAAGACCCGAGAGCTGTAGCTGAACCATTTTCTGATTCAGCTACTGCTCACAAAGCCTCGCTATTAGTGATCTTCATAGAATGGCTATAAAGAAGCCGTTACTAAAGAAGGGGAACAAGAATGAAGGTCTAAAGTTTGTCACAAGATTTGGACTGGAAACAAATGTAAGCAGGAATGATGGAGGGATGAATCCAAATGATTTTATATTGTATAAGCACATTAGTGGTGCATGAATACTTTTTTACTATGCAGTGTACTTTTGCACTGTAAAGTGAGACACTTTTAAAAGATTAAACAAAGTGAAATAAGGAAAGAAAAAACATCTATGTGTCTTGAAATTTTATGACACCGATAATAACATTAAGAAATTCTCTGTGTGTGTGCAAATTTGATTAACTTATACAAAGTTCTTTCGCTTTTATTGTTTCCTCCTGTCTTATTGGCCTTCTCATAGGTGGATGGGCAGTAGTAACCTGCCCTTGTGCTGTGGTCTATGCCGTCAAATTCAATATCAGAGCGGAAAGTCCTCGTGATTATGCCGACATTCTTCTGTCCTTCAAACACTTTCCAAACATCACACTGCATGATTTTGCCCGTGGTTTGGCAACTCACACCAACCAAAGAGTGCCAGAAACCTTTTGGCCGCACGGTGGCAGGTTGTGTGAACCCACTGATGGCAATATTGCACAGGCAGCTGAAGGTGAACTGAAAGTAAACTTGCCATGGTTAAAACACAAACAGAAGGTGCCAGACCCAGATGGACATCCTCTCACTGGATCGTCTGCTCATTACGCCCTGTACGACCGTTTTCATGAGGACAACACAAAGGATAAGCGTGATGTCCTGCGATAAATGGAACTTTCTCCAGAGATCTGTGGCTGGGTCAACAGTCAGACAGCCGAACAGCTGTTTTCAGGGATGAGGCGAAATAATAATTTTCTCAACATGATGACGCCATCCTCTCATGTGTTCCTAATGCGGAACATTCTACACCACTACAACTGCTTCAAAAATGCTGCTGTTATGGACAACTTGAAGAAGTCACTTGGCCAGGAAGTAACACTAAATTCTTATGGTCAAGCAGTGTTAGGTATGTATATGAAGTCATAGAATTTTTTCTTTAAATATATGAATAATACTGTGCATGTGCAATATCCTTCTGCACCAAAGCTGAACACTCAATGCTGGTTCTGTTTACTTTGTGTTATTTCATTATAAAAGGTTCACAATCTACAGACCTATCCACAAATCAAGACCGATTGACTGAAGCGGGCACCCTTGAAGCTAGTACTTATGTTTTGTAATGATTGAAAGTGTATGATACTGAATGAGTCTTTTGTTTGGTTTCGTTAATCTCAACTTTGACTTTTGTCTTCCACTTTGTTAACATATCTTAGGTGTTCAGCATCTGCCTGATTACTGCACACGTGAGGTGAAAACAGTGGACCCTGTTAAAGCAGGTATGTTTAGGTCATTTTGTTTATGAATAGTCTATGTCCGATTCATAGGTGTTATCATATTTTGTTTTTCTATATAACAACAGGCATGCCATGTGGGCCTCACTGTGCGGTTCTCATGACTGTTGCATCGATATAGGCAAAGCGATCATGCTGGTCTTTGGCTTTGCACCATGATCAGGAAAAAGTGGTATAGTGCTTATTGTGATATTGGAGCTAAAGAGCAAATAGACAGATTGTCTAATATTGTGATTGTAGTGATTGTCTAACTTTTAATTTAAAACCTGCTTTTTATTTCCCAGCTAAGTTATGTCCTGGACACAGATAAACCGCCTAATGAAATCCTAGTGCGCTGCAGCAACAGCTGTCTTACTCGTTCTGACTTCCAGACACTAGGTCTGCAGCAGCAGATGGATTCAACTGTAAGTTGCCTGTTGTACATAGAGTTAAGAATGTAATATCCAAATGGCTACATATATTACTTGTTTCTTCTTTTTTCTTCGTAGATTGGGAATGCCTGTTTTAGGATGATACAGAAAATTGCTGTTTCCAAGGTGCCGTATGATCTGTTGAAATTTTTGTTTAAGTTTGCCATGTGCTGAATTGTTTACATTTCAAAGTTGGAACATTTTTAAAGGAAATTAAGGTTGTGTCTCAATCAGGGCAAGAATATCCACATTGTCGATCTGTACGTCTGCCCAACTTGGCTGCCCCCAATTAACAATGACCCTATGGAAAGTATACCTGTAAGTATGGCCACTATGATGTGTATATACAGCTCAACAAATGATTTGAGGTCATTGATAAAGTTTGTCTTTGAATCCCCTGTATCAGAGCCAAGCCCATCAGCTGGATGCAATTGTAATCCCTCTGTGGACGCCTGGTCACTATCAGATCTGTGTGTGTATTATTGTCTACTATTCATGATTGTCTGGTTTGAAGGAAGTCTGGAAATGGAAATCAGGGATCTTTTGTAGTATTATTCCAACTTCTAGTCAGGCTCAATGTGTATATGTAGCTTAACGAGAAACCCGTTATCAGATGCTATTCACTATGTGGCTTGTACTTAATAAACCCAAGATGGTCATCTTTAGGTCATCAAGCCAGCGCAGAAATGCATCCTCTACCTGGACTAGCTTTTTGCAGAGAGCGAGTCTGGATTTAGGGGGCAACAATACATACCGCTAATGAGGTTATTTATAATTATATACATGGCCTCGTTCCTCTGGCCTGTCTATCAAGTTTGTTTGATCATTTTGTAAGTTTGATTTGGTCGTGTTCATATGACTATTTCTATTTCTGGTCCTGTTCCTTTGACCATTTAACTTTTATTATGTGATTGTGTTGATATGCGTGTAATTGTCTCTATTTCACGTTCCCAGACAAATTGCTCAAAACATCTCTGATGGAACATGGGAGGAAATTACTGGCAAAGACTTGCAGGTAAAATTGATTCTATTAGAGTTAGTGTGTTTTAGTGACTGTTAAGTTCATGATTGTTTTGTCTTAATTCAGGGCTTCCCTAGACAACTCTTTGGCTTGGACTGTGGCATCTTCATGATAATGGTGGGCCCTATGATGATTGACTTTGTTAAAACCACATTTGACTAATTCCTATATTTCTGCTCCCAACCCTATCATAAAGCTTGAAGTTGTTGTACAAATATTTCTCTGGTACAGGCTGCCTTTTATGTCACCTTGGATGCAGAATTTGACTACTCTGTGGTAAGTATTTTTAACAGGACACTATTACAACCTGGTTCTTTCATTGTTTACTGACGCTTAACATTTTGAATTTCAGCATGACATGTCAGTCTTGCGGAGGTGGTGGTGTCTGTTGATACTGGAAAACAAATCCCTTGACAGGTATGTAATCTTTTCCACATGGCCATGTCTTGCTTTTTGGTAAAGAGCTTTTACACTTCTATGTTTTCCTTTATTGTAACGGTACATTTTCATTTGCAGCCATGGCCAGGTCTTTGCACATTGGACAGCAGAGTGCCAGGCGATGTTGAATGGAAATTATGCTCCAGTGTTCAGGCTCAAGAGAAGGCGCAACCAGGAATCTGAGGTTAGCGGTGTGGAAGAATTGATCAATATAGTTTTCACATTGTCTAAATCTGTGATGCACCTCGTCAACAGCTGCGTTAGCTTTATCAACAATTTTGAATTGACTGTGTATTTGAAATAATTTTTTTTACAGATTTGCACACTTGTTTGCAGCTTCTTCACTTTTCAGGCAGAGGGTCATAGTGCCAAAGTCCGACGTTGCTCAGAGTCTGTGTCACAGTGTCCAGGTTTGAAAAAAAAGCCATTTTGATTGAGCTACATTTAAGAAGGTTTTTGTGATCATTGGGATTTCCCATGATGTTCCGAGCTCCCCTCGTGTTACTAACTGGACTCTCTCCCTTTCCCGTAGTCTTGTGCTTTCTCGTCCCCCTCCTCTCTCCTCCTATCACTTTCTGCAGGTGTTCCTGGCTCTGGAGCTGTGGGGTCTGGATCTGTGCTTGGGAGTCTCCTCCTGTCACTTCCTGCAGGTGTTCCTAGAGCTGTGGAAGCTGGATCTGTTATTGGGAGTTTCCTGCCGTCCCCGTTCCACTGTTTATAGTTTTATTGCTATCATTACTGCTATCATTATCATTAGTATTAATATCATTGCCATTTTTCATCCAGTCTATGTGTTACTGTGTTGGCTGCCTCTCTCTGCTCCCTCTGTCATTCTCTTGTCCTCTCTTTCCCTCACCCCCAACCGGTCGAGGCAGATGGCCGCCCACCCTGAGCCATGGTTCTGCTCGAGGTTTCTGCCTGTTAAAAGGAAGTTTTTCCTTGCCTGTGTCGCCTAGATCTGCTCTTGGTGGGAATTTTTGGGTTTCTGTAATTAACTTCAGAGTAGGGTCTGACCTGCTCTGTTTGGAAAGAGCTGTAATAGTTAGAGTTAGAGTTCATGTTCCATTGTTTTGTCTGAAAAAATATGTTCCTATGTTCTATTATTAAATTTTCTCCAAATTGAGATTTGTTTTCCTTGATTCTCTGTCCTTGTACTGTTTTTGTGCTTTTTTGTAGCCTAGTAGATATACTTGTACAGTTATAGTTTTAGTGCACGTTTCATCATTGTTTTGCTTGAACATTTTTTTCATATGTTCTATTTAATTTAGCTAGCAACTCTGAATTGAGGTTTGGTGAGTAATTACTGTTAAAATATAGTCACATCGTCTGTTCAGGCCATCAAAAAATGTTTTTATTGTTATTGTTAGATTTTTGTGAAGCTTGGGGCAGGTACAATTTTTATTTTATTATTTTTATCGTTAAAAAGTATATATATATATTTATATATCGGTTGCGGTGGTGTGTTCTCAATTTAGTAATCTAGAATGGAAAAAATGTTTTTTTTTATCGTTAAAAACTACATATCGGTTGCGGTGTCAACCGTAACTGTAAAACAGTTCCGGTCATGAGGCGGAGGTACAATTTAGCATCGAAAAAAATGTTTTTGTCGTTAAAAAAAAAATATATATATATATTTATATATCAGTTGTGGTGGTTTGTTGTCAATTTAGTAATTTAGCATCGAGACAATTTTTTTTTTATCGTTAATATATATATATATATATATATATATATATATGTATATATATAATTTAGTAATTTAGCATCGAAACAAATGTTTTTTTTATCGCAATGTCGATATATATATATATCGGTTGCGTAAAACAGTTCGGTTGCGTAAAACAGTTCCGGTGATGAAAAAAATATGTAGGTTGTGTCCCTGATGTGGGCGGGACTTGATGTGACTTGATGTGGGAGGGGCTTGACGTCAAGCCCCGCCTTCCCGCAGGATGTACTTGATTTCACGTGCTTGTCACGTGTCTAACGGAGAGGGGGCGCTGTAGAGCTAAACTGTTGCCAGGGAGACGGCCGAAAACAACTGGCGCAGTGATTCCACAATGGCCACAAGTGTCCCGACTGTGCCTGACCGGGACTCTGCGCAACGCAGTTCTGAGAGGGGCTGGAGAGGTTTTGAGCTCTCCCTGCTCCTTCGTGCGTGAACAACACACCTGTTCTTCGGACGCTGGATTCTAAAAGAATAACATTTCTTTACGGCAAAGTTAATTCAGCGCGCCGTCGTTGGAGCGGTGAGTAGACGGGGTCTGTTACGGGACAGCTACCGTTAAGCTACGCAGTTAGCGGAACAATGCTGCTAAGCTAAGTCCCTAGCGCTATATTTGAACATTGAATACATTTTTTCTTGAACATTTTAAAGATGAATCGTGTTTGTTTAAAGCGAGTAGAGTTGTTCAGTTGTTACCATTACAAGTGAATTAACTACATGTTTTGTAAGCAAAGATCTGGCTAAAACGTAATTATCCTACCCCAGGTGAGTTCCCCCCATAAACTTATCAGAGTTATTATTATTATCAACTAGCCTGAAGCTATTTAAGCTCCGAAGTTTTCTTAATTGAGTGTACCAAATGCACAGATTTCAGCTTTTTTGTTAATTCACATAAAATTAACTACTATTAATAGGATAATCTTAAGGTTGTAACTTCTGACTTAATGTTTGAAATCTTTTTTTGACACAAAGAACCACCAGTCAGAGGGTCATCACAGAGGTGAAGGGTGCTGTACGGTTTCAGTGAACAGTCCAGCATAGGATGCTTTCCACTTCAAAAGTGAATGACAACTTGAATGAGAATTTGACATGATTTACTAGCTTCTTCAGCCATAATGAATGGATTTCCATTGCAGGTTAACTACAGTTATTTTATAGTGTGTCTCTGAAAATGTCACTTTGGAGGTTTCTAAGTTAATGGGTTTGGTGATGTGAAGTATTTCTTAAGCATGCAAATAGTAGTTGAGTCTATATTGTGTCTAGTTACTAATCATGTGACCTGAAAGATGAGTCACACACAAAGATATACAAGTTGATTTAACTGTTTGCATAGCCTTGTAACTTGGAGAATGTATGTGCAGCCATTCATGCTCACATTCCTACCCAGGTACTTCTCTACCTTCCCAGCATTGCTCTCAGTACTGCAGTGGCCAATGAGCTAGAGTAAAGCATGAGATCCTGAGCTTAATTAAGCCCACAGGAACAGATGGTCCGTTGGCAGTCTCTGCTGTTTGTCAGCAGTACACTGCCACTCTAAATGCTGCTAAACGCTTCCAAAGGGGAGGGGCTTGGGAGGTGTGAGGATAGGCTTGCCAGACGTAATTAGGCATTGAGAGTTGGTAAAAGAGGGGGATGGCTGCCATTTGTTGGTGGGAGACATGACTGATCATTATTTAATAAGCATCAAAGGTGGCTTTCAGCATCAGTGCTGCTTATCTCTATTGTTTATGTGCCTACCCTGATTGACAAATACGAGCAAATATGTTAGAATACACCAATTATTCTTAAATACTGCAAACTGCTGTTTGTCCGGCTTGCAATGTATTAATGGAATTTTCAAAAGATCTTTGGTTGCAAAGGACAATTTGATGACTTTGCTTTTACTAACAGACACTGCTGATCAAGCAGTATCATGTATTGTATGATATGTAAATACTATAATACCCATGATATATTAATTTAGTTCCAGAGGCATGCACGTGTTTAGTCAGTTACTGATGGATATTTTCATTAAGCTGTTGTTAACAATTAGGGACAGGTGTGCCCAGCAAATGGCAGGAAGAGGCTGGACCGAGGGGATTTTAGGTGACTGAGGGCAGAGAGCCTGCCATGTTAGGAGCGGGATTAGTGGTGTGATCTATGGTAGATAAGAGTATTCGTTGGTCCGCATCAGCACACAGACAGTCAGAAGGAGGACAAAAAAATGGTGACGATTTCTGTCTTTCTATTGGATTAAAATGATTTCTCGGCAGGTATGTGAATCGTGTCTTGTAAGGCAGGAAATCTGAAAAGCGTCAATGTAGGTGTGCTGAGAGAGGAGGACGTTAATGTGCTTATTCACCACTTATCATGTAATCATTCAATTAAGTACCCCATCAAGTAATCTGTAAGTAATTTTCTTTGTAATGTTCAAAAGATTAACTTCTGTGTTTCATCCTTTGTGATTTCAGTTTTTACATTTAAGTTAAAATTTCTGACTAAGACTGTTACTAAGTTATTGACAGCTGCTAAACATTGCTTTTTTCCCTTTCAACTAAAATTAAGTAAAGGCTTATACTGTAACAGAGAGGGGGAAAATCCAATTTCATGAGCCACCTGTTTTAGTTGTTTTTTGTTAGATATCACAGCTTTGAATGAGGTGTGCTTTACATTCCCATTTATATTTTTCCTTTTATTATTACATGTATAGAAAGGAATAAACATTGTATTTCATGTCCTCCTCTATAATTTTATCCTTATTATGATGTGTTGATATTACTAAAAACAATGTTATTGTTCTTTGTATGAAGGATGGAAAAATAATTCAGTAATCAATAGTCTGATCACATTGACAAAGTCCTTTTTATCGGTAATAAATTGGCTATTTTATTAAGTAACATTATGATACTTTTTTCAGTTACAAGTTTGTTGTGAATTTGTTCATCTGAAAAAGTGTAGAATAGTTATGAATATTACCAGTCAACAAGAGACTGTGTGTTTGCTTTCTGCAGAGACAGGAAATCACAGAATGGGATAGGAAGTGAAAATGGCATTTGTGTATTTCAACATTTTGATTTTTCTATTTTGAAGTGGTACATTGATTTTGTTTAGTTTTTTTTTTTAGGGGGCAAGATCACAGAAGGAAGACAAAGGACTACATCCTGCACTGGTGGTTTATGACTCATGAGTTGAACAGTCTCAGCCGTGGTTCCTTGTAATGCTCTAACAGACCTCAGGAAATACTGGGTGATTTGAACCGTGCACCACTCCTTCAGGGATGATTACATCCCACATGAACGGTTATGTGCAAGAGGCCTCTGGTCAGGCCATGAACCACAGAGAGAGGGCTGTGGACTGCCCAGGAGAGGATAGTAGCCTTGCCAAAACTCCAAACTGTAGTGCCCAAATGGAAAGAATCCAGCATTATCAAGAGGAGCTGAGGAAGAGGAGAGAGGAGGACAGCAAAGGGAAGCATGACATTGACTCCAATGCTTCTCTGAGGCTCAAGAAGCTGGCACAAAACCCTAAGGTGGGCATTGACAATCCCACCTTCGAGGGAAAGGAAAATGCTCCCAAAGACATGAGCTCCCCAGATGTTGTTGTCGGTAAGTTAAGTTCAGAAGGGCACTGAGCACTAAAAAAAGATTTTATTAGGGTCAAGGAGGTTGCACACAGGAAAGGATGTTAAAAAAAGAACAATCACAGATCTCAGAGAAGAATAGAGAGTTGTGAGGTTTTACAGAAAGTGACGGAAACAAAAGGAGTCTGAACAATGACTATTGAAGGGGCAAAGCAGAGGGCAGGGAAGCTGGAGGAGAATGTGTTATATGGGCTGTCCAGTCCTGTCATTGGTTAGCTGTTGTTGGACTCTAATGAAATCACAGCTAATTGATTCGATTTATTTTTAATGAATCAGATTTTACTCATGATAAAGTGAACAAAATCTCAAAACTCAACTGCAGAGACATAACCCTGAGTAAATGTTGAGTCCTGTTTCTTGGAATTATCAACTATTTTTCCTGAAGAAATATTAATATTATTAAATATTACCAGCAATGATGGCACGGTACCTCTGGCATATTTGAAAGCTTAAAACTTTAAAACTTGAGGCTAATAGCTTTCAGTTACAGTGTTATAAGTGAGTCTCTCATAACATAATTATAGGCAGCCTATGTCCTGTTGGAATTAAATTTGATTAAATAAAATAAAAGTTGATTACACTAAGAGAATGGCTTACTGGACCAAATTCAGCATTAATGTAGTATTATCGAATTAAACCTTCCTGGATTTTTGTAATTTTGTACCTTCCCATGAGTTGTTTTTCTGTTCTTTCAACTCTGTCTCTTCATCAGAACTGGAGGAGCTGTTGCAGGCTCTGAAGTTGGCACAGCTTAACTTGAATGATGCCCAGAGCCAGCAGGATGTGGATCTGATCATGCAGTTCCTTGCTAAGGAGGAATTCAAGACTGCCTACACCATCTACACTGTCCTGTCCCAGCAGATGTGCAAAGTCAGCCCCACCTTACCGCTCACGGCACAAGCTCAGGACCTCTGCCAAGAGGTACAGGATAGCAGTCCTTTTCCACTACTTTTTTTACTTAACTGGCTAATATAGTTCAAAGTCTACCTATTTTGAATGTGTTCAATCCATTTAAAGTGTCTATTCGTCATAAGACTGGATATTGTCTCCACACAGAAAAATGTCTGTGTACAAGTATAAACATGATCATGCTTCATGTGCCAATCGGCCGTTTGGATTATGCAAGTTTCAGTTTACTTCAGAAGTTCCAGCGTGAATAAATCAACTCCAACTACTCAATGAAAGAAACATATATTTGCTTGATGTGAAATAGCATTATAGAAATGCACCATGTTGAAAAAGATAACAAGGGTGAGGAAGAAAATTTGTTATTTTATTCATACATATTATTTAAAAACCTGTGTATTTTCTTAGATGTCCCCTTCAACAATTAACTCTTTCCTATTTCAATACTGATCTATCACAAAGAGGGACAGACAGAAAGAAAGAAACCATTTCAGGGAATCTGCTACACCTGGCTTTTCTGTGGACAAAACAGCAGCCAGTTTCTCTTTGCTGAAGCAAAGCGACAGTAATTGACTTGTAGAGTGTGTAAGTGTTCAAATGCAGCCTGTCCCACAGCAAAGGCCCTTGTGAGAGGACAGCAATTGGGATGTGGCTTGTTGTGAGTAACATAGAAGCTCCATATTTCTGTGACAAGCTACACCCACAATGGCCTTTAGGTTAGCATTTTTCATTATTATTTGTTATGCTGGCAACTGCTCAGTGTGGGATGTGCTTCAGTGCAGTCAGGTTGGTGCAGCTGGACTTTTAGATGATGCTGGATGTGGATGGTCAGCCGCGTATTGGTAAAATAGGCAGGAAGCTACAAGTCATTCAAAGTGCACAAAGAAAAGGTGCTACAAAACGCCGGTTCAAAGTTAGATCGGCTCAGTGTGATCTGTTTTTACAACACAGTGTCCTACTTTACACAGCGAACCAGGACTAGCACTGCACACTGGAGGCTCAGAGTTGAGCTTTAGAGTCTCTAAACTAAGTGGTTGTGCTGTGTAACGCTCACATTGACCATTGTGTAAACTAATCTCCCGGCAGCCCTCTATGCTCGCTGAGCGGGGTAGCACACCGCAGGACAAAGGCCAGGATCTGGGCAGCCAGAAAAAGAAACTCCAGCAGCTTACAGCAGCCCTGGGCTGAGGTGCAGCCCTGCTGGGGGAGGGGAAAGTGCGTCACCTTGTTTGAGAGAGCTTTGATTAGTGTAATGGATGACCCAAGCTCTGGAAAGCAGATGAAGAGGCAGAGGGGCAGAGTGAATAAATGCTAAAATGCACACTGGCAACTCAAAAACCACATGATTTAAGATGGATCCGTGCTGCAGACTAAAGAGAAGGCGAACAATAGATGAATCGACGACTCCTGACAACAAGCCTTCTTCTGAAAATGCAGCATGCTAATTTACTCTACATTAATAGCCTGCTCTGGAAGTGTATGAAATCAGATTTTTGATTTTTCTGATCTTATTTCTTATATTGTGTGTTATATTACAAAAATGTGCCACTAACACGACTTTTATAAATATATTATACTTATGTAGATATTTTATAGTAACATTTAATTAATGATAGATTTAATGCTGCGGAAAATGCTTTAGGCAATTAAAACATTAACTAAATTTCAGTTAAAGATGCATTACATGGTTCTGAAACTTTATAATGCAATCAAACGGAAAGCAGAGAGCACAATGATAAAAATAAATTAGATAAGGGTTATTCAATCCAACCACACTTTATCAATGCTAATGGTTATAACTGTAGGCAATTGACTCACTATACTGTTTTTTTCTCTTTGCATACAATTGGTACAAAGATGGAAAATTTTCCAAACATTGAATGGTAATTTGATATAATTAAAAAATAAACATGCAGTACAAGTGTAAATCAAATTAAATGAATTAGGAAATCCATGTCACAAATATATTGTTGAGGCCTTGAAATAAGAAGAATACAATTTTTCTAAGTGAAGTACTAAATGCAGAATAGGATCATTCTTGTCCTTGAAGTTGTACATTAATCAATGACTACTTTATCATTTGCAGACTGAGAGATCTTGGTGACAGATTTATTTACTATAAAGCACATATGTCAAAGTCAAGGAATTAATTATATATGGCCCGCTGGATGATATTTAATTATTATTAGAACCGGCCCGCAGGCCACAGCCGCCCGCTGGCGTTTTGCACGCACAAACACTACATTTCCCACAATGCAACGGTCGCCCGCGAAGTCACTGTAGCTTCATTCAGAGCAGAGATCGACTAATTGATAACCCCTCCTCAAAAATGACTAAACGTAAGGTGGACGCTGAGAACAGCGGGTTTCAGGCCAGGTGGGAGGCAGAGGACATGTTTACGGAGGTAAAAGGCAAACCTGTGTGTCTTCTGTGTGGAGAAAGTGTGGCTGTAATGAAAGAATTTAATTTAAGAAGGCACTATCAAACGTCTAAGAAACACACTGACAAAGACAAGAATATGGAATAGGAACAAAAGCTACAGAAGGTGGAAGAATTAAAACGAGGACTTAAGTCCAGACAGGCTATGTTCACATATGCTAAATCACACAGTGAGGCTGCTGTCAAGGCTAGCTTTATTGTGCCATACATTTTTGTATTTTATTTATTTATATTTATTTTTCAGTTGAATGGACTCAGGGAAAATTGCAGATAAGAGCCATGAGAAAGAATACAACTGATTTGATAAATTGTTTTAATTTTACTATTTGAAAGCAGTGATCGGTAGATCATAGAGCAGCACAATAATACATTTTCAGTTTATAATGCATGCACTTTTATTTATGCATTTATCCTGATATTAAGAAACACATTTTGTTTTTAAAAACAATTTAATTTTTTGCTGTTTGGCTGTTGAAAATGTTTTACCTTGAAGTTACCGACAGAGCCATATTCAATATTACCATATTCATTTAATCATTGTGAATATGTGTGAATACACTGTGTTAGGTCTTGGTTCAATAGGCTATGTGCAATCGTTTCGATATGTTTTAATAAACGTTGAACCAGTCCGGCCCTCGGCTTGTAGCAAATTTGTTTTTTTGGCCCTCAGTGTGTTTGACTTTGACATCCCTGCTATAAAGTGTCTTTTTCTTTAGGTTCAGAGGATTCTCCAATCGGGCCAACCGAAGGAGGGTCTGGAGCTCAAAGCCCTGCTCACCAATCCTCATCTGCAGGTCAGAGATCAACTTTCCCGCTGAAAATAGCTGTGACTTTCCATCTTCGAATATCACATATGATTATAAGACAGTTTCAGTATGGTTTATAAAAAAGTGTGTCTTAAAAAGTGTCTTACAGGTCAAGTAATTTATTTAGGTAATATTCTGGTAATTGGACAGCTGGAGATATAATTAATGTTACATGGGAATGTTTTCAAAAGGGTAATTGTTTTTTTATGCACCTTCCACTGGGAGGTCAGAGGTCAGGCTCGGACCAACCTGACAATTCAAAGACATTTGGACTGTGTGAAAACATATTTAAGTGGACTTATTGCTTTCACTCAAGGACGGCTGTAGCGAGGAGGTAGATCACTCTGAAAGGTGTTTGTACAATTCCTAACTTCAACAGTTTACAAATCAAGGTATTCTTTGGCAAAACAATTAATCCCATTGGATTCTTCTGTGTTCCTCTCTTCTAAGGTGGCTTTAGATAAAGCATCCATTAAATTAATGTATTGTAAAAGGTCACTAATAGCCCTTTTCCACATGCACCCACTCAGCTCTACTTGACTTGACTCAACTCAGTTCGCACATTTGTCATTGCTGGGTTTTACTACATTACTGTAGTCAGCTCGACTTAGCTCGCTTGGAACTCCAGCTGAGTGAGCACTAAAACTGTAAGTGGTACCAGGTGCAAGCCAAGTTTAATTCCTCAGTAGTAGCAGCAAAAGGCCATCTTTTGAATTATTATAATTCAAAAATAATTATTATAATTATTTGGTCAAGATTTCCTTTGGTTAAGTGTCATGCCCATCTTTTCCTTTGGTGATGGGGAAAACATCTGGATCTTCTGTGGACTACAGTCCCCATCAGTCTGGGTAGTTTAAGGTTGAAGTTGGTGATGATTTATTAATTCCAGGCTTTGAAAACATTTCACTTCTGAAGTAAATAATAAAAGTACAGTGTTAACTTGAAAGTAATTGGATGGTAATGGCTGGTCTGTGATCCACTAAGTAAAAAACACTATACGCTCTTAAACAGGGGGCTGTGCACAGATATGCACGATAGGTTAGAGTCTGTACAGCTGTTCAAAAACAATCTTGTGAAATACAATCTTTTTAGCAACATGGCACTGTTACCAGCTGTGTGGTGGAGAAGTGGGTTTTGTTCTTTTGAAGACCTGTTGCCATAGGCCCTCAGTTGGGTTTTGTGAATTTTGACTAGGCTTTAATCTGTCAATAATTGATTCCTCTGCACACCATTGATTTTAGTGGACCATAAAACTGCTCTGTGGGAAAGCTTTCTCACATGTCTCGTGCCAGCTTAAAAAATAGTCAGATTGTATTTATTTAGGGTGACTTGAAACTCCCCCTGTCAGATTAACCTCCAGTGATTCTCGTGCAAGTAATGTGGAATCACAGTGTAAGCTGTCGTTGTCCATTGGCGAGGCAGCAAGGTGAGAAAAGTCCTCAGGTGGTGACTCTGCAGGGATTTTACAGTCGAAAAGCCAAAGCAATGGAGCGCCAGAGGTCCTATGTTTGACCCATGGTGACCATGTGAACTGCCCAACCCCCACAGGCCTGTTAACCCCTCCACTGAGTGGGAACGGTGCAGCCAGTGGGGTAGCGTGATGAGATGTGAGCCTGCCTCATGGCTCAGAAATTGTTACAGATTAAGCCAGTCGCTCTGCAGGGAGCACAGAACCACATGAATCACCCTGATGTACATGTAAACAACTTCCCAGCCACAACTTATGCAGTCATGTGAGGGAGGACGGGGGCCCCTCAGGTCTCCCTTTCATTATTTTCTAGGACACATTTTCCTCTGGAGCAAGGAAGTTAAAGATGTTAGGTAACTGACAGTGTTGGATTCTGACTCCTGCATGCAGAAAGAGGTAACGATGGAATGTGGGTATAGCAAGACTTTTTCTCTCAGGCCACCTCTGCTGCAGGACAAAGAAAGTCATTTGGACCAAAAGTTATTGATAGTAGGGTATAGAATGTATGACATTAAATTAAGTGAAGTGACTGTGTCTTATTTGTGGCTCCGAGGTGGATTTGCCGACTGTCCTTTTTTATGAAGACATGGTTAAGACAACTGTTTGGTTGCAGGTTTGTGTTCAAGCAAATTTGTTGCTCCTTTTTAAACCTTTTTTTTCTTCTTTTTTTATAGTATTCTCATAGCAGCCACAACTATTGTAAAGGCTTCATTCTTTGTCTTCAACTCACTTTCCATTATGTCTTCAGTATACAAACTGTATATATGTGTTGTTTCTCTGCATGTCTGTGTGGCAGGCTCTGATACAGGCACATGACACTGTGGCAGGGCAGGAAATGACAGAGGAAATCGTGACACAGTACCTTGGAGAGACGGTAAAACTAGTGCGGTTGGAGAAGACTAAAGACACTCCGCTGGTAAGACTACATCGTTTTCTGAGTAGCCACTACTGTCTAGTGAATTTACTCTGTATTTCTACATGTATGTTATGTCTCAAGCCATCTGGACTGTTGTATGCTTTACAACTGTCTTTTGGCCGCTATTTATTAACATTGGACTTCTATTAGAGGCAAGAATAGTTGCACTTATCTTCAGAAACTCTGGTAGGGAATTGTAATATATGAAATAATGACATTGAGTTATTTGAATGTACAGGAACTAAAAAGGGAATAAGTGAGTCACTCACATGGAGCATATGTGAATCATAAAGGAGTCAGCTTTATAAATAAATTCTGCTTTTAAGTTCAAGAAGGTTTCCATTTTCAGTATGAGCGGGGGCCTTCCTGTGTGGAGTTTTATTTTCTCCCCGTGCATACGTGGGGTTTCTCCAGATTCTCCTCTCACAGTCTGAAAGCAGGCATGTTAGGTTCTCCAGATTGACCACAGGTGAACACTGTTTTTCAATGAGTTGATCTGCTCGATGGTGTTATTACGGGTGTGGGGTGTGTGAGCTAATCTACATGCATGTGTGTGTGTCGTCATCAGGGTGCAACAGTCAGGAATGACATGGACAGCGTGGTGGTGAGCCGAGTGGTGAAAGGTGGGGCAGCAGAGCGGAGTGGCCTCCTCAGTGAGGGAGACGAGATCCTGGAGATCAACGGGATTCCTATCCGTGGAAAACACATCAATGAAGTCCACGACTTATTGGTGAGGATCATGGTCAAAGCGGTGTCTGGTTACATAAACAGATGTTTATGGAAGCTAGATCTGTATCCCCATTGTGTTTATGTTGTGACTCATTTCCATCTTGTTTAACAGCAACAAATGCAGGGCACTCTGACATTCCTGCTCATCCCCAGCTCTCATGTTAAACCTGCTCCTCATAGACAGACTGTGGTAAGTCTCTAACAGTAGGAGCCTTTGTCCCGGAATCCTGTTGGTGTGCGCGCTACATGTTGTTGTAAACCCCTCTCCTCAGATTCACGTACGCGCTCACTTTGACTACGATCCCTCTGAAGACCCTTTTGTGCCGTGTCGAGAACTGGGCCTGTCCTTCCAGAAGGGAGACATCCTCCACGTTATCAGCCAGGACGATCCCAACTGGTGGCAGGCCTACAGGGATGGAGATGAGGACAACCAGCCCCTGGCTGGACTCATTCCAGGTTGGAATTAGAGAGGGACTGTATTTCAGTATGTATTTTTAGTTGTTTGTTTTTTTCAGGCATATTCTTGTAGTTATCTCTTTTTCTTTGATTTGATCTATGGCTCTTGGTGATTTGTATTGGTTATGTGAAATTCAAGTTGTTGTAGGATATGCTTTCTGTTGTTTACTGTGCCTGATGTACAAAAATGTGGTAAACCAGGTAGGTTTACAGCAATGTAACTTTTGGCCACAGAAGCCTTCACTAACCAGCAGACAGGGAAGACGAGCAGCCATTGAGACATGAGGAAAGAAGGAAGCAGTGTAAAGTGAAACAGAGCAGATGGAGGTCCAAACACATAGATTTGTATGTATGATTTCCCCTCGGGCTGATCAAACCGTGCCAATGAGATTAAAGCAGACAGCAGATTAAAGCAAACACCTTGGAAATATTTCCGATTACTTTCTGACCGAATCCTGTAGTAGGTGGAAGAAAACAAGGTTAAGAAATGGAAAGTTGGATGTCTTTTTGCTTTTCCCGTCTTTGTGTCAAGGGAATTATCAACGTCCAGAAACAAAGCAGATAATTAAAAACTACTTTTAACATGATTTTATAGGATTTTAAATGAGTTGTTTTTCTTTTCTTAGGGAAAAGTTTCCAGCAGCAGAGAGAGACCCTGAAGAAGACCATAACCGACAAGAATCAGGATCAGCAGGGTAAGAAGCGTCAGGACACACGCAGTCCCCTTCAAACACATACATTTTTAAGAGCTGTGAAAAAGGAGGTCCATGCCTTTAAAGTGATTTCTTTTCATGTTCAGGGAAGCTTTGGTGTTCAAAGAAGAACAAGAAACAGAAGAAGAGGAACACAGTAAACCTCAACAAAAACATCGGTGAGTGTTCTTCCCCTGAGTGGTGCGAGAACTGATTTGTGTCCTCGTACCGAGCAGAGCGCCGCTCCTTGTTTACCTCCAGCAGAACCCACCACAGCTTCATGTCCTCCACCGGCAGACACACACAAATGCCCACACACAAACCGAAGCTGACACACCTCAACAGCTTGTCCAGACTTGTTGTGTCACAAGTCAGATTAGACCTGTCTTCACAGACGGGATCAGCAGGTGCTTAAATGGCTTGGAGGGACATGCCGTTTTAGGGTTCACACATAGAAACGCACAACGCGCACACACACTTGCACACACACCGTTGCCGGCACACTCCTTGATGGCTTGATGATGACTGTGAGCTGAGAGGATCAGAGGTAATGAAGAGATTTAGAGCAGGAGAACACTTTCACACCACGCAGCGCTGATAACAACCTCCTATTTTATTGATCCCTAAAGTCTCTTGCGTGCTTCTAACTTCCACATTGAGGTCAGAAGTAGCGGCACAGCAGCAGCTCAAGAGCTCAGAGTGATTTGGCCTGCAGGTCACGCATGTTTCACTAACCCCTTTCAAACAAACTGTCCCCTCAGACTACGACGACATCCTGACCTATGAGGAGATGTCCCTCTACCACCAGCCTGCCAACCGCAAGCGTCCCATCGCCCTGATTGGTCCTCCAAACAGCGGTCATGACGAGCTGCGCCGGAGGCTTCTCTCCATAGAGCCGGAAAAGTTTGCCGTTGCAATCCCCCGTAAGTCACACGGAAACCACTAAGGTCACACAAGGATGTGTGCCTGCCACACACTGTGTTTATTCATTTTTGTTTGTCACACAAACAAGAAGTTCAAGTAGTTGAATTCCAAAACAGTTTTCTAATGTAATTCTATTCTGCCTGCCCCTTTTTATGGCTCAGACACAACCAGAAACCCAAGGATACACGAAAGGATTGGACGCGAGTACCATTTTGTGAACCGCACTGCCTTTGAAACGGACCTGGCTGCGGGGAAGTTCATTGAGTCGGGGGAGTATGAAAAGAACCTGTACGGCACCAGCACCGACTCTGTCCGGCATGTCGTCAACTCCGGACGCATCTGTTTGCTCTGCCTACACACCAGGGTATGCATCGAAATAAAGTGTCACGTTCATAAAGAAGCCGCTTTTATTGTGTTTTTTACCCTTTAAAATGGATTCTAATCTAATCATGGTCTGTCATTTGTTGTGTTGTTTTTTTTTTTGCTGTTGTCAGTCTCTGCGGGTGCTGAGATCCTCCAACCTCAAGCCATACGTCATCTTCATTGCTCCTCCTTCTCAGGAACGTCTGCGCACCCTGCTGGCCACAGAGGGCAAAACTCCAAAGGTAAAAGTGTTATTGTTCAGGAATTCTAAGGCAAGACAAATCCAATTTAAAATCACAGATAGAATCACAGATTTTGATTGGACTTTTAAACCAGCACCACGTGTTCCGTCTTTTTCTAATGTCCTTTTTCCTGTGTGCAGCCTGAGGAGCTGAGGGAAGTCATTGAAAAGGCCCGCGAGATGGAGCACAACTTCGGTCACTTCTTTGATGCCACAATCGTGAACATGGATCCAGACCAGGTGTTTCACGAGCTACGCAGACTGATAGATAAACTGGACACAGAACCACAGTGGGTGCCCACGTCCTGGCTGTGCTAGAGGCAGCGCTGAGGGGTCTCAGGGTAAAAAACGGCAGACAGCAGCTAAACTGACTGGAGAATGAAGGACGTACAGTGATGAAGCGTCACTGGATTTTCACTTGCACATTTTCCTCGTTTGTAGAGGATTGTTACAGCATGCTGCAGGGATAGACTAAGTTTCTTTACTTTTGTTTCTTTTTTATCTTTGTGTTTTGTCTATTTGTTTCAATAAGGTCTCATGATCTCAGTTTAATGGAAAATCATGTATCTATGCAATTCTAAATAGTTATTTATCAATGTAAATATACTTTTTTTTTTTTTTTTAGACAGAAGAGGTATATATTATATCAGTCGTGTCCCTGAGAAAACGACACATGCTCCCAGCTGGAGGAGTTAGTCTTAAAAAGACTCCCTGATAAAGCAGCAGGCAAAAAAAAAACAACTCATCAGGTACCAAACTGAAAACTAGTTTTAGTACTTTAAGTCCAGTGTCTTCCATCGAGAGGCAGGACTGAGACGTCTGCCCTTGAAACCTGTGCGATTCAAGGGGATTTTCTTACCAAAGTCAGTATTCTGTTGTCTCATTCACACTGTGGGAGTGTTTTCTACCAGTATATTAAGAACAAAACGCCCTATTTAATGCAAGTTCAACAAATACTATGACGCTTCTCTGCAAAGTACTTAGTAGTTCATGAGCAAAATTTTGCAAGTGTTAATAAAACCAAATATGTAAACTTGTGGTTAAATTTGTATATTTTTAGTTTTAGCTAGTTAAGTTATTAAATAAAATGGCTGCATAGGTCTTACAGCTCAACCCAGTTTTCTTTTCTTTGATTAAAAAAAAAAAAGAAGTTCTAGTTCAAACTAGAACCCAGTGACCACTAACTGGAGCAAGAAATCCACGCACACATGAATGTTTAGAGGATCTTTATTTAAATGATGTTTGGAGCTTTGTTGACTTGCAAACCACATTTTACAGCAAGGGACACATTACGGGGAGTCTGTTCTTATGGTAAAGACCCTTAAGTGGGGTAACTGTGACCCCACGACGTGAAGCCAGTGGCAGGAGGGTCTTCTACAACAAGCTTCATATCTAACCATATTAACCTTTACAGCATGCGATGGCTCTAATTTTAGTGAGAAAACTAAAATATGTACAGCTGGATCAGTCGCACGGAATGCTTTAACTTTGCTCACAAACACATGTAAACATATAATCTGTGATATTTGCATCTTTTTTTTTTAATCCACGCTCTGTCTCGTAGGTTCCCTCCTGTCTAACACCAAAGTATGACAACACTCTGGTCCCTGAACAGGTACACGTGTGGAAACACTCACCCTTCAGCACTGACACAACAGAACAAATGGTCACGGATGCCAACACACACTCACACAACAAAGAAAACTTCCATCACTTGGATAAGAAGACATAGACACGGCCAGTGAGGCACAGAATAAATAGGATGGTGAGTGTTGAGGTGCAGAGGGCTTCACTCAAACAGCAGGTCTTCGTCCGTCTCCTCGGTCAGCATGTTGGAGGGCTCTGCGATGGGACCCAGCGCAGCCAGGCGGGCAGCGATCTCCAGTTCAGTCCTTGCCCTGATCTGCTTCTTCTTTTCTTGGATCTTCTTCAGCCTGGCAGACCAGGACAATCCACACAGACAAAATTAGAATCAGGGGGATCATAAAAACAAAGGGAGGTTAAAAATAACTATAAAATAACTACAAGCGCAATGCTTAAAAATGATTTGGTTAATTAACAGAGCATCGTATCTTAACATTTCTCGGGATTAACATAAAATAAGGCGGAGACATTAATCACAATCACCTGTAGAATTCCTCTCGTTCTCTCTCATCCAGCTCTGTGATGATGTAAGTGAGAGTGCGATCGATCCTAGGGATGATCACTGCAGGATGGAAAAGAGATGATTTTAGCCACAGCGACAGCCTTTTTCTTACGATGCCTGAGGTCCAGCGTCAGCTTACCGTGCTCAATGGCATTCACACGCCGGTTGGTGATCTTTATGGCTTCATCCAGAGTGACAAAAGAGGTCTGCACACAAGAATTGAGCAACATGTGTCAGACTCATGAAGCAATTTTTTTTTTTTTTTTTTTTTAAAACTTATTTTTTATTGAACATTTTTGAACACATACAGTGGAGAGGCATTATAATACATTCAACTTCGTACACAATGTATCCATACACGAAACGTGTCCATATTTAAGTGGGTATCAGGGTGTCATTCTCCTTGCGTCTGTATTCGCTCCATTTTTCCCATCTAACCTCAAACTTGTCCTCTTGCAGTCTTAGTCTATGTGTGATTTTCTCCATTATGAAAATCTCTTCCACAATGTTCATCCACTGCTCCACTGCAGGAGGGTCATGTCTATACCATAGTTTTGTGATGGTTTTCCTTGATGCAGAAAGTAATATTTTCAACAGATATTCATCTTCTTTTTGAATTACATCGTGTGTGAGGCATCCCAGGTAGAGTGTTTTACAAGATCTGGGTATTCCGTATCCCAATATTTTTTTCAAGGTAAGGCTAACATTATGCCAGTATGTGGTTAGCTTTTGACAGGACCAGAATATGTGAGTGTGGCCTACATCAGTCTGGCCACAGAGTCTCCAGCATGGTTGTGGGCTGGATATCATCCCGGATTTGATCTTTGGTGTTATAAAAAATCTAATCATATTTTTCCAATTAAATTCCCTCCACACACGGGAGCAGGTGGCCGTGCACTGCATTTTACAAATTTTAAACCATTCCTCCTCGCTTATGTATGAAGCAATTTTTAAAGAAATGGAATCTATGTTTTATAAATATCAATTTAACTTTTTAAAGAGTGTGACCATGACGTGGATGATGTGTATAAACCGAGCATGTACAGTGGGGGAAATAAGTATTTGACCCCTTGCTGATTTTGCAGGTTTGCCCACTTACAAAGAATGCAACCATCTCAAATTTTAATCATATGTACATTCTAACAGTGAGAGACAGAATCCCAAAGAAAATTCCAGAAATTCATATCATATTAATTTATAAAAATTGATAACCATCTGATGAGGAAAAACAAGTATTTGACCCCCTACCAAACAGCAAGTATTCTGGCTCCTACAAGCCAGTTAGTCTTTCTTTAAGACACATCCCCAATCCCAACTAATTATCTACATCAAATATACCTGCCTCACCTTGTTACCTGTATAAAAGACACCTGTCAACACCCAAACAACCAGCATCCAACATCACCACCATGGGCAAGACCAAAGAGCTTTCTACAGACCTCAGGGACAAGATTGTTGATCTGCATTCTGCACAAGGCTGGGATAGGCTACCAGAGAATCAGAAAACAACTTGGAGAGAAAAGATCAACTGTCGGTGCAGTTGTCAGGAAATGGAAGAAGCACCACACCACCGCCAACCTCCCTCGGTCTGGGCCTCCCCACAAGATCTCGCCTTGTGGGGTGTCCCTGATCACGCGAACGGTGAGGAATCATCCCAAAACCACAAGGGGGTAACTGAATAATCAATTGAGGGCAGCTCGGACCACAGTTACAAAAGAAACGGTTGGTAACACACTACGCCGTCATGGATTGAAATCCTGCAGCGCACGCAAGGTCCCCCTGCTCAAGAAGAAACATGTACAGGCCAGCATGAAGTTCGCCATTCACCACCTGGACGACTCAGAAGAGTCCTGGAAGAAGATGATGTGGTCAGATGAGACCAAAATAGAACTTTTTGGCCTCAACTCAACTCGTTGTGTTTGGAGGGCAAAGAACACGGAGTACAACCCAAAGATAACCATCCCCACCGTCAAGCATGGTGGTGGCAACATCATGCTTTGGGGGTGCTTTTCAGCCAAGGGGACAGGGCAACTCCATCGTATTGAGGGGAGGATGGAATTCTGGACCAACATCTCCTTCCCTCAGTGAGAGAGCTGAAGATGGGTCAAGGATGGGTGTTTCAGCACAACAACGACCCTAAGCACACCGCCAAAGCAACAAAAGAGTGGCTGAAGAAGAAGCACATCAAGGTTCTAGAGTGGCCTAGCCAGTCTCCAGACCTGAATCCCATTGAAAATCTTTGGAGGGAGCTTAAAATTCGAGTTGCCAGGCGACAACCTTGGAACCTGAATGATTTGGAGGCTGTCTGCAGGGACGAGTGGGCCAACATCCCTGCCGAAATGTGCAAAAACCTTGTCACCAACTATAAAAACCGTTTGACACCTGTGCTGGCCAATAATGGCTTTTCTATAGAATATTAACATGCTGTTTGTCCAGGGGGTCAAATACTTCATCAGATGGTTATCAATTTTTATAAATTCATATGATGTGATTTTCTGGAATTTTCTTTGGGATTCTGTCTTTCACTGTTAGAATGTACATATGATTAAAGTTATAGATCGTTGCATTCTTTGTAAGTGGGCAAACCTGCAAAATCAGCAAGGGGTCAAATACTTATTTCCCCCACTGTATCTGTGACAGCACCATCTACCTGTAAGGAGGCCAACTCCACCAGCAGCTCGACAGCTCTGGCATAGTTCCTCTTCAACCTGGAGAGCTGCTCTCCTCCACGAGCCAGACCAGTGAGCTCATAACCTGAAACAGACACACAGCCAGGCTGAGCGCTCCCCGTTGTTCGCCACGCGCCGACGCTAATCCAGACGATGCAGGCGGAGGGCAAAAAGCGGAATTAGACTCTACTCACTGTCTCCTCCTTCTTGGTAGTGCTCAAAAACTGGAAGGGTGACTCCTGAAGGAATAAAATTCATGGTCCATAAAGGCTTCTTTCATCGAAAACAGTGTCGATAAAAAAAAGTTTTTAAAAAAAATCTTTTCAACAAACCTGCCACATTGTCTTTCTTAGCTCTGACCTTCACCTGGGCTTTGTTGACATTCTGGATAACAGTTGTGCTGTAGAAAGAATTGGAATTAATACATAGAAATAATCCATATGCTTTTGTTCAGTTCAAAAGTGTTAAAACGATTCCATCCATTCAGACTTTTAAAGGGTAGTGTTTAAAATTCCTGAATTCCTGAAAATGTGCAGTTATGTGACAGAAGCATCAACATGATGTGCACAAAATACTGTAAAATAAATAAAAACATGGAAATTAGGAAAAAGAAACTAAAGTGATGCATGCTTTAAATGAAAGGTCACGGATTGGAGTTACATATATATACATATTAAACTTAGCACAACATTAAAGTAATCCCCACCTGAAGTCTCCAGCTGCAAACTTTGCTTCAGCCAAAGAAAAAGCCGCCTCTCTCATCACCTCCCCCATCTTGGTCTTCGTCTAAGGTTAAGAAACACCCAAACTTTAAGAAGCTATTCTGACTGATCAGAGAAATAAACTGTGAGATAAAGCATTTTCATTGCAATCCATCCCTTCTAAAACACTCAGTTTGGTGATTGAAGAAGTTGTGGGACTGCTATTACAATTCAATAGATGTACCAATGTGAAAACTGGAAACTAAAACGCAAACAGCGTTGAGTCTTATCGGTTAACTGACTTCGATGATCTTGCGAAGGATCTGACGGAACCGCATGGAAAGGGCATCGGATTTCTTCTTCAGCAGGTTACGGCCGGTCTGTGCTCCTTTCAGCCGAGCCTTCATGATGGTCTGAGCCCTGCAAACACACAGTAAACTCTTCAGTAAACATCTATTTTTGCTCACTTTGTACTATCACTTATTAACTTCTTCTGATCTTTTTTTTTTTTTTTTTTTTTACTTTAACTTTTCTCTCCAATCACCATCTTTAAGTATTAATGACCAAAGCGTCCAACACATTTGCCTGCATTCGTTTATGACTATGGATCCCAGTTCCCAAACCATGTAAGTATATCTTGGAAGTTTTTTTTACTTATTCAATGACATGCTACAATGAATGTGCCACGTTCTTTTTTTATTTTAAATCAGCTAAGCCAGTGCTCAGTGTTTCCAAGTATCCCCTCATAGCTGCAGATAGAAGTCACATGATGGACTCTTCCTCTTTTATACAGCAGCCATACACTCATATAAACCATTACTAAGCTTTTTTAAAACGGGCAAAGGCTAATGTGATCCATTCGTGCGAGAGGCATGCAGGAAATATTCAGCTCAGAGACTGACAAACGAAAATCCAACTAAACAACGTTAAATTGTTTAGTTAAGAGGCTATAGCTGGTTAGCAACTAGCAACCAAACAAGCTGCTTACATTCTGGAGGGGAATACGTCGATCCTGTCTTTTCCAGACATGTTTTCGTCTTTTGCTCGATGATGGCCGTCTTCTATCTATTTCCGACAACTAAAATTAAAACAGCGACCTTAGTTTGAATTGTAATTGTCTAATCTTTAAGTATATGACAGCAAATAAATGTATTCGAGCAGAATCAGGTGCACAGATCGAGCTAATGGTCGTGATCTTGTCCGTCCGTGATGATCAGCTGGCCCCTGATCATGTGACTGGACGGAACTCGCTCTGCACATGCGCGTGTCGTGACGCTTTGTCGATCTTTTCCGGGTCGAAAAATTAGCACACCCATGAATGCGAGCTAACGGGCCCGAACCCTTCACCTTAAAGAAACCGAAATAGCGGAGTAAACGTACATTTGAATACGTCTAGCGAAGAAAACTAAAGCGTATTGTTCTGTAAGCCCATGACACAGGTGAGTTGACACCGACAGAGAAGATGTTTGGCGGGCAGGGCTGAACAGACGGCGCTGGCAGCTAGTTGGCTAACGGCTAGCTTCAGCACCGATGCATGTGCCGCATGGGCGATGGGAGCCGGGTTAATAGCAAGGCTGCTAATGGGGAGCAAAGTATTTTTTTTCTGCCTTTAAATGAGCATTTCTTCAGTTAGTCGCCAACACTGAAATAATAGCTACAGTCAGTTGCCAGCAGTACGGTGTAGTTCTTCTTTAAATGCCTTGTCTTGCCTGTTTCACTGCTAAAATTTAGCAGACTGAGGTGTGTGTCCATTGCATCATCCCATTCAAAGAAAAAATTTAAATAAAGCTACTCGTCTCCCACCTTACACTCACTTTGGGAATATTATTTGTGCTTAAGTTGGTCATTTAACCTTTTGAGAATGGGGAAAAATATACCCACATTGACACAAATGTGTCATTCAAGCTGTTTTATTCCTTTTTAACATGAGCTGCCTTGGATTATTTTTGGACGTGTTGTCCATACATTTTATGTCCTTGATTATACATTATAGTGTATTAGAATCCTTTCTAAATTATTTTTACCAAGAATCAAAACAGTTTAAAAGGTTTCCAATTAAACTGAACAGAAAATGAAGGACATCCTAGAGTTTATGCTTAAAATAATTTAACCTGTCCTGATGTAATAGGATTATTCATAGACTGACTATAAATGTTTCTGTTTATAGACAGAGTGATGTCAGCAGTCTACCTCCTTCATTAGTATCCAGCTCATTGAAACAGTTATCATGAATGAATGGTTGCTTCTCTCAAGAAACATCCGAAAAAAATACAATTTGACTAAAATTAGCTGGAAAAGACTGGCTTACTATATAGTCTGTGACTCAAATGAAGTTGTTATATTTTTTAAACACAATTTTTCCTCAAGTCATTCAGAAAGCACAGTTTGTTAGTTTTTTTTTCCAGAGTTTCTGGCAGCACTGTTTGGTTCAGATAAGCTTCTTTTACTCCAAATATCTGATTAATGGCACTTTAAACCCGAATGGGCCGACAGTAGTGCTGCTCTATTTTCCCTGATTTCAAGCTTGAAGTCAGAGGATATTGGGTTGTGTAGAAGTTAAATGTTGAATTCAGGACAATGGACATGGTGCTAAGCTATCAGCAGATAAGTGGTTTTCTTCCTTCATGGTCAAAATGTCTTTATCTCATTTTCTCCCTCCAGGTTTTTTTGTTTTTTCATGTTCAGTATCTGATTTTTTTCTAAACTCATGGTGACGCTGTAGTTTGTAAAATAATATTTAAAAAGTGGAAAACCTGTTGAATGTCCTGTAAACGTTTGCGTCTCTCCGCAGCGATGCCAGGGCTCAGCTGTCGATTCTACCAGCACCGGTTCCCAGAGGTGGAGGATGTGGTGATGGTGAACGTGAGGTCCATCGCTGAGATGGGCGCCTACGTCAGCCTCCTGGAGTACAACAACATCGAGGGCATGATCCTCCTGAGCGAGCTGTCCCGCCGGCGTATTCGCTCCATCAACAAGCTCATCCGCATAGGCCGCAACGAGTGCGTGGTGGTCATCCGAGTGGACAAAGAGAAGGGTGAGCACCGCCTGGCTGCCCTTAAAAAGTGAACGGAATGGCAGCTTGTTTTGGCATATTATGTCTGACGTTGTGTTGGGTTGTAAGTGACAGTATTCGTAGTTGACTCTGTGGAACAGAGTCACACAGATTAAATATTTGATGTAGCATGTCAGGGATGGTATCGTTTTTTTCTCTATAGTGAAACCATGACATCTTGTTAGTTTAGCTGTTTCTGTGTAGTGAAAGAAGGCGAAGGTGACATTTGCTGCTGTTTTCTGAGAGAACGGCCACTGCTTTTCTGTGAGAGACAGTTTGACTGTAGCATGCCACCATTTTTCCTCCAGGATACATCGATCTATCAAAAAGAAGAGTTTCACCAGAGGAGGCCATCAAGTGTGAAGACAAATTCACCAAATCCAAAACTGTAAGTTTTTTTTTTTTTTTGTATTTTTAAAGGACCTGATATTCTGAAGCTGTTTGGTGGATGATTTTTTTTTAAATCCTGTTAATTTTCTAGCAGAGGTTTTGGACCTTGCTCTTAAATTTGCTGTGTTGTGCATTAGGTGTACAGCATCCTGCGGCACGTGGCTGAGGTGCTGGAATACAGCAAGGACGAGCAGCTAGAGAGCCTGTACCAGCGCACCGCCTGGGTCTTTGACGAGAAATACAAGCGGCCCGGTTACGGAGCCTACGACGTCTTCAAACAGGCCGTGTCGTAAGTCGGAGTCTCACACAGAGCCGCCCGCTGATGTGTGGCCAGTTGTCTGATCAACATTCTCCCATTCAAAGAGATCCCGCCATCCTGGATGGCCTGGACCTAACGGAAGAGGAGAGGAACGTGCTCATTGATAACATCAACAGGCGACTGACCCCACAGGCGGTCAAAATCCGAGCAGGTGGGTTCTGTCCCGGCACCCCGTTACCGCCCGCTTTCAGCAGACGGCACTGACGCCGGTGTTGTTTTTCCCCACAGACATCGAAGTGGCGTGTTATGGGTATGAAGGCATCGATGCGGTGAAAGAGGCTCTGCGGGCCGGACTGGGCTGCTCCACGGAGGCCATGCCCATCAAGGTGGGCTGACGGCCTGAATGTGGGCTCTGATTAAGGAAGCAAAACCCGCACAGCTGAGTCAAAACCTCTGCTGCCATAAGCTGACGGAGTTTTTCTCGTCCCGGGCAGATCAACCTGATTGCTCCCCCTCGCTACGTGATGACGACGACCACCCTGGAGCGCACAGAGGGCCTGTCCGTGCTCAACCAGGCCATGGCTGCTATCAAGGAGAAGATCGAGGAGAAGAGAGGCGTTTTCAACATCCAGATGGAGGTGAGGGGCCTCATACACCTAAAGAGAAAATGTTCTCATCCGATAAATGTGGCGTCTCTGATGTTGGGAGCGTGTTCACCCTAAGCTCAACCCCAGTGAGTTGGGAGTCAGTCAATTTTTGGTTCCTATGTCGCTGTGATGGATAAGTGGACTGGTCAGACCAACTGAAATGTAGCTGCATGTCTACAGAGCCAGTGTAGCATCTGGTTGGCCTCCTCTGGACGTGGATCCAAGTCCATTTGAATAGTTCTTGTGCAGCAGAGCCATTGGACAGCGACTCTTATATTCATTTCATTTAGTGCGTAACAGCATTTCAGTTCAGCTCTTTTATTTCACTCGCAGACTTCAAATTGATTTGAACAAGCCTTAATAGCCTCCTGTTTCTCATTTCAAACGGACATCCTCTAATGTGAACTTTGTTTCTCAAAATGTGTAAAGATGTGTTTTATGTTCTCATAGCACATTTCAGTGAAACGGAAACAGATTTGTCTTTGTTTGTGCGTATGAACCGGTAACTAAACCCTGATCTCCGTCCAACAGCCTAAGGTGGTGACGGACACGGATGAGACGGAGCTGGCCCGACAGCTGGAGAGGTTAGAACGAGAGAACGCCGAGGTGGACGGAGACGACGATGCCGAGGAGATGGAGGCCAAAGCAGAAGACTAACGGGTCATCGGGAGGGCTGGTGGGAGAAGAAGAAAAAGAAACATTGAAGGAGAAAATGTGGACAGACCAGGCCAAAGTCACTCAATCCAACACTCACATGTCAAACATTTGCTGACGTTTTACTAATTGATTGGTTAAAGTCCCAGTTTGTTCATTAAGCGAGCCTCGTCTAAGAAGACACCAAACCAGAAACGGGCACCAGGAGGGTTCCATTCCAAGTCAAACATAAGTTTAGCTTTCATTTCTTAGTACACTGGTTTCAAATCTAACAACGAATGCTGTTTCCAAGCAGTGGCCTTCACTTACCTCTTGCTTAAGAGCCTACGGGGGTTGATCTGAGTGGTCACTGGGTGTGACCGGCTGTCTGTCTCTGCAGCCGTCAGTGGAGCATTATGTACTGATTCTCTTCCAGTTACAGGCTATTCAGCCTACAAGACCTGCTCCTGTTTTGCTCTCTTTGCATCAATAAAGTTCTGGAAGTTTTGAAGCCTGATTGTCTTTCCCAGCTTAAATGAACCATTTAAACCTTCTCTCATATCTCAGAAATAACTGTAAAGTCAGTTATCGGCTCCAGCTTAAACCCCCGAAAGGTTATTCCATGTGATGTTTTCATCTTGATATTTTATGTTTAAGAACATTAAGCAAAGCAGAGTGGGTAAACCTCAAAGGACAGTCTTCTTTTTGTTTCACCTAAAATCCAACAACTTTTTAAGGACAGTGTATTGCCGTGAGGAAAGAAAAAAACTTTAAAAAAAAAAAGTTTAATCAAATGTTCTCCAATACAAAAACAAAACAAATGGAGATTGCCTTTACAACATCAAAATGTGTTCCGCTCTCAGCTTCAGGCCTTTAGTGGTTAGGATGTGCTTTACAGTGGCAGAATTCAACCATCCCAAATTAGGTGGGTCTCTTTTTTGTCAGGAATGTGATGAGGGGAGAAAAAAAAAACTGCCTGTGCTGCGTTAAACTTAACTCTGTAAAAAGGAGGGAAAAAAACATTTAAAATCCCCGTCTGCTTATGAAACCCACCTTCAACGGTAAACCAGCTTCTTAAACTAAAATACCTCAGAGAAATGTTTCTGAAACTAAACTGGTATGTACACATAAAACTGTAGGACCAGTGGACCTCACTGGCAGCTCAGCCGTGGTCCTGATGTCAGAGCGGCTTCATTTCAAAGCCAGAGGAGACCGTTCACAGAGAAGCAACACGGACACAGTCAGCACCTGCAAACCGAACGGGGGGGGGGGGGGCAGATGGGGCCTGAGTTTGGAGGGGGGAATTTGTAGTAAGTGTAAAGTTGTTTGGGGTGACATTATTTCCCTACACTATTGTACATGGGGAGGGAGGGGGTCCATCTTCATTCAGCGGGTTATTTAACCAGTCCAATCTTCTTGGCTTCCGTTTCATATATGAGCAGCCTCCACATCTTCACTATGAAGACCTCAGCTTCTTCATCAAGGACCTGAACAGGAGGAAAGGAAACTTAGAGGAGAGCATTTCCAGAGCAGCATTAAAATCAGATGCTAATATGATCCCATTAAAAGCAGCAACACTGATGCGACGTGTGCATGAGTTCACTTCAAAGCCGTGGTTTGGTTTTGGAAAGCTCATCTTTGATATTACTCACCATGGCAACATCATCCAGGATACTCTGCGGCATACTGTGAGCCATCACCTGAGAAAAGACACAAAATCATCAGCCTCACTGAATTCCAATTCTTTCTCCCCTCCTGCTTGGGATGAGGTCTAATGAAAGGCTGCGGCTTGGTCTGGTCGGTACCTTTGAGCACACAAAGTCCACTAGTGTTGCCTCTTCCTCACCGATGTACTCAATGATTTTTTTATTGATCCAAGGTCGAACGCGTCGCTCCATTAGCGTCTACAGAACAGGAGAAAGAAGCTGTTTAGTATGCATCTACCATTTCTTCCTAGAATTCACAACAGCAAGAAGGTTTGATGGAGAGGCTAAATCTTTTCCCTCTGGTCTTGCTTAAGAAAAACCACCAGATAAAGCTGTGATCCCTTAAATCTAGTAGCTGCTTATCATCCAATAGGATCTGATACAAATCTAAAGGACAGAAGAATGAAGATGAGCTTCTCCCCGCCTCACCGTGTCAACCATTGACCAGTCCAACGGGTAAGAGAAGAGATCGGGCTTTGCCGTGGGAATCTTTTCTATCAGGCTCTTTATGTGCTTCCGTTTCTCCTCGGTATTGGCTCCCTTTATGCTGGAGAGCCCGGCACCATCCACCCCAAGGCTTTTGTCGTCGTCGTAATCCAGAGGCACGAGCTTCCTCTTGCGTGGCTGCTCGTCAGCCTCCTCGTCAAACTTATTGAAGACGCTGTCCACCGGAAGCTTCTTCCTCTTGCCTGCGTTGGGTTGACTGGGGCTCCCCGTGGCACCTGATGAGGTCACAGTCAAATGAGAACAAATTCCTTTTGTTGTGTCCATGTATGTATGTGTATAAATATATGTATATATGTATGTATGAAGTATTTATACAGAAGGGTTTATGTCTGGAGTATCAATAATATATTTTTTTAATTGAGGAAATAGTGGTGATTGTCAAATGAAGCAGTGAAAGGAAAATGTTTCATATCACACAGACACATGCATACAAAACACTTTAAATTTAGGGCTGGTCATTGAGGCCTGGGGTCTGACTGTCTAGGATTCTATAAAAACTCACCCAGTTTGAGGCTGAGGCCGATCTTGGGCCGGTTTTCGTCCTGAGGCAGCGCATCTGGAGGCGAGTTCTCGTGAGGGATGATGATGCCGCAGGGTGACTCCTCTCCGGGGGTGGCGGGGGACACGTTTCCACTAGCTGATGACACTGAAGGTGCCGAGTTGATTGGCCGCATTGTGGGCTTCAAACATGGTTTTATGTCGGGATTATCCTCGTCGTTCTCGTAACCCTCCTCTTCACCCTCTTCCACCTCATGGTCGGAGTGATTGGGCCGTGAGTGGGGCTCTGCTTGGTCCTGCTCTGGCCTGCGGTCCCGGTGTTCCTGTGCAGGCCTGTGGCGTTCACGTGGCTCCTCAGGCTCTGGCTCCTGGATGATGGGCGGTCGCCTCAGACGCTCCTCCTCTTCCTCTTCCATCTTAACCAATAATGATGAAATATGCAGAAAATATCACCCAATTAGTGTCTTTTACAGAAAAAGAAGGTCAACAGACAATGAAAGCTGAACATTCCTGATGTGCAGAGACTCGGATAATAAAATGACCTTCACAAAGACAAAAACAGAGGGTCCACCCAGTGCAGCCACACACAGGCAGCACACATTATCAGTCCGACAGAAACACATACCCTGCGTAGCTCTGCGTCTGGGTCTGGATGTCCCTCGTCTAACAGCCTCTGTCTGATCTCCTCCAGCTCCTCCTTCTCCCTCTTCCTGTCACGCTCGTCCGCCTCCATCTCCTTCTCTCTGTCTCTGAGACGCTTCTGCAGTGCACTGCCCCTAGGGGTCACAGCCAAAACAGCAGCTTTCAGAACAATGGCTTTCGCTGCAGTGTTACATGAGCCGGGTTAGATTTGGGTCACAGAATAACTGATCCATGGCACCTTGATCTTCAAACTGTTTGCTAAAATTAGATGGTTAATATCGCATATCTGAATGCTACAGACATATCTGGGCATCTATTTTTGGATGATATTGGTCCAAAATATTTGGCCCTTTCTCCTGCTCACCTGTAATACTTGTGGTCGTCTCTGTCATCATCATAGTCTTCAAGAAACTCTTTTAACCGTTTGCCTTCTTTCATCTATTGAACCATGAAGACACAGAGCCAAGTTCAATTGCTTTAGAATAACAGAATCGTTAACAAAAATCTAAGTTTTTTTGCCTTTTAAACAAAAAAGAAGATATTATCCTGGTAAATAACAACACGCACCCAATTTATTGTATCACCAAATTAAAGTGGGAATTCTGACAGTTGAAACAGCTCTGCACTTCAGAGGCTGTTACCGTTCTCTCACCGTATCTCGCCGGCGCTGGTCTTCTCTTTCCATTTCCTTTGCATAATCCCGAGCCTTTTTCCTCTCCCTTAGCTCCCAGTTTTTTAGACGCTGGAACAAAGACAATGTGAATACCGGCACAGACACACGAAAACACATTATTAAAAACACAAAAATCATCTTGTTTTTGGCCATCTATTTCTTTCTCTGTTATTAAAAGGAAAGTAGGACGAAGGACCTAAATGCATTTTGTACATTTAACTCAATCACACCTTAAAAAGAAAAAAAACAAAAAAAAACAAGCTAATCTAAAACCTTTAAATGCTAAGCTTTCATTTCTCATCAAGAAAGGAATACGGTGAAATAAAAACCATAAACAACTCAAACCATCAGAATCTATTGGAAATGACCTGACTTTGCTCAAATGTTGACCATTGTCACATTTAGAAAATGATGATGTGGTGCAGCTTTCGTCAGTCATTTCTACCTCCTGATAGGCTGCTTCCTTATCTCTGAGTTTTCTTTCCAGCTTCCGCCGTTCATAGGTTTCTTCTTCATCTTCTTGATCCCGCTTCTTTTCTCTGTCTCGACTCAACTCCCTAGAAGAAAAAGTAAATAATTAACAAAAATACATGGAAATTGTCAGGATAGAATATGAAATCCGAACCAACAGAAGTATAAAGATTTGATACTTCAAGCAGTAAAAAAAAAAACAAAAACAAAAAAAACAAAAACAAAAAAAAACTGGTCCTCCAACTAGTCCCCCCACTTTTTTACACTCCGCTACGTACATGTCGAAATGACCTGAATCATTTTCTATGTTTCATCTTAATTATTGACTTGTACACTTCACCTTGAGCGGCTGCGGTCGGCGCTCCTGCCATGGCTCCTGTCCCCCTCCCAGTCTCGCTCTCGCTCCCGCTCTCTGGGCCTGCGATCGCGGTCTTTGTCTCTGTCCCGCTCCCGTTCTCTCTCCCTTTCCCTCTCCTTTTCCCTCTCTCGTTCCTTCTCCCTCTCGCGGTCCCGCCGCTCTCGCTCCCGTTCTCGTTCTTTTTCACGCTCCTTCCTTTCACGCTCAAATTCCAACCGTTCCTTCTCCCGCTTATCCTTCTCCTCCTCTAGTTTCTGCAGAGCAAAACACAGACAGGTTCAATTGATGCCACAAGGGATCCTGTGAAATCCCTGTGAAAGCTTACCAAAGTGCTCACATCAAGTGGTTTCCAGATTTTAGAGGTTTTACAGATGAGCATGCCCTATTCTAATTAGTGCAAAGCTCGAAACCTAGCTAGGAGAACTACATTCATACCACTCTCCCTCAGAGAGCGCTCCATCGTTCTCTTACAGCAGCTTGCAAAAAAATTACAGTTCAGCAAGAATGTGACTGGAAACCACTTAAATGGCTGTAACAAACTGTGGAACATGTTCATTCTGATGCATTCATAACGCAGTAAAAGACAATGTTTTTCTCTCCTTAAGAGCCCTTCTTTCAGAATAATGAAAATAAAAACAGAAAACAGGCATCAGTCTTTCGTTGAACTAGTTGTTTGTGACTTACAGGTGTTGAACTATGGACTCAGCCCTTCGCTGCCCCTACAAGCCTTTTAAGTTAGGCCTGGGAGGAAAGCAGGTCACACGGTATACAAGGGAAAATTGTTATGGGAATCTGTCTTGCTTTAGCATCATCATAATCAAAAACAATAGCCTTCAGTCAAATGACAACATGGCATTCGCTGTAGTTGTAAATAAATAAAAAAAAAAAAACGAACATTATGAACATCAGTTACATTTCTGCACAGATAAATGAAATTGTAGAAACAGTCTTACCCCTGCAGAGGTCTTCAGCTGTTCTTCTTGACTCATTATTCAGACACACATTCACGCACACACATACACATCACAGCTCTGCCTTTGTAGGCATTACACACAAAACTTCAGGTGTACTTGTACCTCAGTTATAGTTTACAGAATCTGATGAGATTAAATGCTGTATTTGTTGTGTAATCCAGAAGTCCAGAAGTAGTCCAGAAGCCTTGGGTGTAATGTGGCCCAATAAAACAAAGACGGGAGATGTAACAAATGACCTCTAACCATTTATTTTAAGGAGATATTTGCTCATTTCTATTTCAGGATTTGGTCTAAGTTCAATGGGTTTTCTTGAATTCATGTCATGTTTGGTTAATTCTGCATCCGGGTGGCTGACTTTGTTACCATAGACTGTGCATAAAAGAAAAGACCAAGCCACCAATTTGGCAATTGGTTAGCAGCTGGTTAGCAAGGTGCACTCAGTCAGTTCACTGTGGTGGTTAACTGTCTCCAGACAAGACGTATCATGACATTTGACTCCACACTAAGAGGGAACATAAGTCTCTCTAAATCTGGGAAGCACTTTTAAACTAAATATGCAGCACGAACACTTATGGAAAAAATAAAGGGTTGTATGGCCTCCTGAAAACAATGTGCTAACCCCACCAATTCTGTAGTTTAGTAGATGTTCTATTACACCAGCCAGTCAGGGCCCTCACTGGCCTCTGAGATCTGACATATTACTTAATTTTAGAATTAATTCACAAATTATCATCTTTTATATACAGTCTATGATCTTTACTTACCTTTGTAGTGACTATCAGGAAACACAAAAAAAAAATATTTTAAAAAACCTGACCACATGCTGGGAGAAAGGATCTTATGATACATTTTTATCTTAATTTAACATTTCTTTACATATTCATGCTAATTTTCATCTTTTTAAAATGTATATTTTGATTTTAAATTCCTACATATCTGAGCCATAAATTGCAGTGCTCTTCTTTGCTACTTTTTCATGTCATGAACTCTTGCTTTTATTTTCAAAAATTGATTAGAGTTGTGCTGTTTAAATATTTGTTCGACCTCAGTAAAACTAAGGAAGAGACAACACACAGAAGAAAATGGAAGAGATTAATTCCGGATCCCACAACACACACACACACACAGAGCACGTACCTTATCAGTCTTCAGATCATCGTACTGCTGTGGAGAGGGCGCCCCCACTCCACAATAGCATAATAAAGGTTACAGCAAGAGTCACTGCAGTATTTACTGAGTTCTTGCTCTTCACATGAAAACCATTAAGACAAACCAATATTCACAGAGGACTCACACAGGTTCACTGACTACTGCAGCTTTCCACAGAACTGCCAATGCTGTTAGAAATTCATGGCTGTGAACCAGGGAGGTCTCACCCTTGTCAGATAAAAGGACATTGTAATCCCTGGGAAGAAAAATAGCAGCGTAGTTGCCCCTATGCAAGTCCTCAAGAGGGGGACGCCCAGTATATGTATATAATAAAAGAAGGCTGATACTTACATCCTATCCTGGCAACTTTTTCCAAAGCTCTGAGATTCATCTTGCTTTAGTCACCATATGATCACTATCATAATGGTGGGGTTTAATGAATAGATTAGCTTTAATGTAACTTTACATCGTCTCCATGCATTTCTGTGTGATGAATGAAGAAATGGATCTCAAATAGTCACACCTAAATAGTCTAATTACGGTGGTCACAGGTTTCAAATTAGGCCCGAGAAAGTTGACAATAATACAAGCCATTTGTTGTGGTGTTTGAGTGAGTTTAATATAGGCCACATTAATATATTTTGTGTGTCAGTGTCAGACACAGCCAATCTGTAGTGTAGTATCCATTTTACTATAAGTTTTACATATTTTCAACTAAATGTGCAAGTTCTAAGAGTGAACTATGTAAGAAACTCCTGTCCAAAACCTGTAATGTCAACTACAAGATTAAAGAAGCTACTTTACCTTGTGAGTGTCACGGAATTTACTGATCTCTCTGGAAATCAGGTCTCTCTTGTCTTCCTCCATGTCAATAGTGTTAATGTCATCCTATTTAAAATGGAAAACAGGCCACAATCAGTCCTCAGGTTGAAAAAGCAACTCATTTTATATTTGAGAGAAAGACAACAATTAGACAATTAAAAAAATTCAATGCGCTTTAATGATACCTCTTCTTTCTTTTCTTTTTTTCTTTTTCGTCGCTGGGACTCTTCATCCTGAGAGGGGGCGTTAAGTTCAGCGGCATACTCCCGCATCAGTCCTTCAATGGCACCTTTCACAACTTCGTCTTTCTTCTTTGTCTCCTCATCAAGGACTTCTTCCTCATCCCCTCCTCCATCTCCTTCCTTCTTAGTCTGCAAAAACCGAAATACATGAGACTTCTAGTTTTTTTTTTTTCTTACAATGACTAAGCTAAACTTTCTTTTGAGGAATAAAAAAAAATCTTAGATGTGTGCAGCAATATAGAAAGTAGGAGCATGGGGAACCCAGAGGCAACACAGATGGACACAAATTAATCTTGGAATTATCCAGAATGACCAACGTAATTTCCTACCCCATTTGCAATCTTTTTCTTGGCCTTCCACTCATCCAGCTGTGACTTTGTTTTTGCATCCACCTTAACAAGAAGGTTTTTGTCTCCAATCTGCAGATCATGAAGCAGCCGCAGGGCTCGTAATGTGGACTCTGGCTCCTTGTATTCACAAAAACCAAAAGCTGAAACAGATGCAAGTTCCTTTAAGATCATTCATGGTTTGACAGAATAAATTAAGCTGAGACACATTTCCAGGTAGTTTTATGTGAAGCACACACACCAAAAAAAAAAAAAAGCTGAACACCAAAAATACAAATAGCTTAAGGCATTTCCAGATCTAATAAAGCTCAAAATGCTTGTAATGAATTACCTTGAAGTTTGCCAGAGGCTCCTTGGACTCTTTTCCAACTCAAAACAATTCCACATTTCTGCAAAATTAAAACAAGGGGAAAAAGTCATAATTTCTCAAGTAAAACTGGATTTTAAATTTAATAGAGAACTAAAAGGTTGAAACACAAATAAATAAAGGTTTGTGACATTTACATATGCAAAGAAGGAAATGCTTGTCATTTCATTGGCGTCGCTGTCTTGTACTTCAAATAGAGTATATAAGTTGTAGTTTGATGCTTAAAACCAAAAGCTTTCTAGATTGTTTCAAAGGATCTTAAATATATTTAAGAATTCAATTTTTCATCACTTACTGCCAACAGCTGTCTGATGAGCATGTCTGAAGCTTTTTCTGATATATTTCCAACAAACACTGTAGTCGTGGGCCCACTGCTTTCATCGTTTTTGGATCGCAAAGAAGAAATGTCCTTCTTTGGGACAGGAGGCTTACTGAGGACTGGAAGAGACTGAACCATAACTGTAGGGGTGGATGTCATAATGCCCATATGAACTGGGATCATTGGAGCCCCTGCAACAGTAAGGGAAATAGAAATAAAATACAGGCAAACATGACATTTTTAAAGTTTACTTTTTACAGTACGATAGGCAATATCAGTAAATTATCCAAGTAAAACTATACCTTTGTGGGTAGACATGGTTTGCAACCAGGCAGATAAAGACACACAACATTCAGTGTGGATCAAACATGACTATAAAGACATCAGCTATAAAAATATTAGAAATATCTTAATAATCCAGATAAACTCATTACTATTGTCTGCATTAACAAATCAGGATGTATATCCAGATGCTTCACCTAATAAAGCAGATTCACTTAGAATAAACCCAAGTTCTGAACTTTTACCTATCAAAACTATAAGGTTGTGACCCTCATAAAACACTACTAGAATCACTGTATGTGCAATATTTAGGTCATGTAAAGTGTGAGGCAGTAACGGACATCAACGCAGGTCAGGTGGGCGCTTACCTGTGGCGAAGCCAGCATACTGAGGAGGTAACCCAGGAGGGGGCAACAGCGGCCGGTTTAGATGCGGAGGGAAGGACATTCCGAGTCTGAATGTGACCTGAAGAGGACACAATAAATAATTATTACTACTTAACTCAACAATCTGTACCTGCTTAAAAATTGTTTTACAATTGAAACTCATGCCAGCACGAGATTCGTTTGGTAAGAGCATGTTGAAGGAATTGACCCTAGTGTGTCGTTAGCATTAAGCATTCAATTAGATTTGCATTTTAACAACTCATTTGTACAAGAACGTGAAATTAGCTCCGTTGTGACAGGAAACGGTAACCCAATTTAAAGTATGCAAGTTCATCATTTATTATGTTAATACCTACTATCGTCGTCATAGTTAAAAAACAACTGACAATCTAGTGTGCTAGCTTGAGCTAGTTCGAAGCACGCGACCATAACCGGCTAAATTTGGCTATGCTAACGATAACTAGAGCTGATGTTACCTAACTTACCTAGTTTTTTTAACCAAACAGGGGCATATAATGAGTGCTAAACCGTTCCTTGATACATACCCCTAATCAGGCGGTGGGTGAAGGAAAAAAATCCACCAAAAAACGCTTAATAAAAATGAATATCTCGCTAAGGTTGCGAATGTTGGATTAGCACGCTAGCTAGTCGCGGGCCTTCAAAAACAGTGACGCAAGCGCCTTACGCACCAGAGTACAAGCTCGCTTGTTTTTCACACCAGGATGTGGCCATTGGACTGAGCTTTATACCAGGGGAGGATAACGTGATCTTCACTAGATATGGAAGTATTGTTATTGCGGTTGGAGCGGACTATTTTCAAATAAGCTCATGACTGCTTTCTCGATTTTAGTTAATTGAAATTAGGAAAAAATTGTTTTCGAACTCGGGTACTGAAATTATTCGATTTTTTTATTGAAAAAAGCCAAACACGCCTTCATTTGAGCTGTTTGGGCATTTTATAAGACACGGTCATCTTTAGGAACCCTGAAACATCTTGTGAATGTAACAATGCCCTTTTCCTGGGCGTAATCCAAATGAATCACGTTAGATATTGACAGAGGTGGAAGCCAGCTCAAAAAGAAAATCAACAAGGCTGTCAACATTATAATTTTCCTAACTGTAGATACATTACTATCTCACCCTGTTTCCTATATATTTGTAACAACAGTAGCTTCACACAATTTAAAATATTTTGTAGTGTTCTTATAACGTGACGATTTCAACACGGTGGACCCACGTGACATGGATTAAAAATGTATGACATGAACTACCAAGGACCTTTGTACACACCATCAACCCTCTTCTCAAATATTCAAGGCACAGGTACAGATAGCAACTATAACAACTACTGGGCTACATTACAAAATGAAAATTGATCACATTTACCCAAAGCTAATACTTTGATAAATAAACCCAAACCTACATCAGGTATTTTCTAATGCATACAATTAGTGGACTTGCAAAAAAAGTATGCTTCCATATATGTGAAATGCTTCTGCAAATGTGAGAGTGTGTGAATAAACATATTCAATTCATATATGTACTAACTATCATAAATCCAATTAATTATTTTGCGAGTAAGACTAAGAGTTTAGTTTCAGGCAGGAAACATTAAGTCTTAGAATAAAATAAATGGCTGCACAATGATGTGGTGGTTAGCCCACTCAGCAAGGGAGTTTCTGGTTCTAATCCCTGCGTGGGCCTTTCTCTGGCTTCCTCCAACCATTCAAAACCATCCTCTGATGGATTGACCCTGTGATGTTTGCAAATGACACATATTCATCCAGTTAGTTACACAAGAGCCTATAGTAACACGACACAAAGCCCCTACAGATACAACAGTGGAGCAGCAGGTCACCAACTGCCTTGCTGCATCTTATTTATGATTGTGGTGGTCTTTGCAGTCCAGGTGAAGCCAGCAGAGATTATGGTGCTAGAGAAGGTGAAGTTTGTGGAGTCCTGCATATATATGTAAAATATCTATGAATGCAAATGTAAAACACATATATACAATACTAACGTTTTTTTAAAGGTTTTTCTTTCAACCTACCCCTAAAGAATTATTTTTGTAATATACTTCTGTGCCACAAGAGGGAGTGTAACCTATTGCCCTTTAATGATCTTTGGCTGAACTGTGTGTACAAAATTAAATCTGGATAAAAAATCTTTAGAAAAGATAAATGAAAAATCTGTGATTGGTTCACTAAAGCTGGTTTGAGGGTTGAGTTGTGAGTGGTTTAACCGACTGAAATAGACTTTCTGCCACTGGCATGTGACATTCTATGCAAACCCTACACACTGTAGTTTAGTTTCAAATAGTTACTATCTCATATTAATGACAAATTACTTTAATTCAATTTTAAGATAGAAAACATGAACTTGTTTCTGATATTATTGGTCTTAGTCTATTGCACAATAGCTCTGTACCATTTGGGACAAATTACAATACAGTGGGTCAAGCAGTTCCCACTCATCTGTGGCTGGGTTTTTTTGCCAAAAGTGGGCGTGGGCTGAGTAAAGCCCCCTGCCTGATTAGATCACTTTATTCCTTACTCTTTACTTACAGATATTCCCATGTTGTTCATTTAGGATCATGAAGAAAAAATTACGCTCTTCATGTTTTGTCAGCTAACTGCAAATAATCATAAAAAACAAATCATTGGATCTTATTTAGGTCACACTATGATATAATTTTCCAGAAGAGCTCAATACACAATGACTGAATTCAAAATTTCCCTGAGTTAGTTTTCTGACTGTTAGCAGATATTGCTACAGCCTGCAGATTAAACAATCCACAGTACTCATTTGGTTTTATCCTCATAAATATAAAATAATCTGTGTCTTTTTAATTAAAATCTTAACTGGTCCACTAATGTGAGGCAATGCATAGATGAGTAGTCCAAAGATTACAGTTGTATATATCTTCTCATTAAGTGAGTTTTGAAAATAAATTGTTATGAAAATTTATGATTAATAAGTTCCTTAATAAAAATGTGTCTGGAAACATTTGAAACTTTGCATTTTTCTTGCATTTGTGATGGCATGTACAATGTAATTAGAAAAAAACAGCAATTATATACACTTATATCTGGCTACACATAGACTCACATGGTTTTGTACGGATACACCTGATACTGGATGAATTGTCATTTTTAAGTCAACCTCATGCTAAAACCCAAATACACCAGGTGCTAATGGTTTTGTCTTTGATAAGGTAACATTTTCAACTATAGCAAGTTTTATTTTAATTTCTTGCATGTATTTAGAAACATTTCCAAAGGAAACCTACACTAAACTCAACATAGTGAATGGCAAAGCTGCACCATTAAGTTTCGTTGTTGAAATGTCTAACTGAAAGTAAATACGGCCCAATGGGTGAATGTGACAAGTCCGTGACGTCACTATAAGGCGGGTTTTTGGTGGAAAATGCTAGAAGAACCGAAGCACGACCTCTTAGTTCTTAATATTCCTCCATCAGATTAAAAATACCTACAATTTATATCAATTTCCAAGTAAAGTAATCATGCGTCTGTTATTTCAACTACAGTGATTTCTTTGTTTAGTGCAGATTTCTCTGCTTCGAAAGATTATTATAGTATCTATAAACCCAAGTCTAAGGTCTCTCAAAAAATATTTTTGCTGTAGATCTATCTACCACATGATGGCACCAAAGATCTTTACAGCGAAATTCATCTTACGGTTTGACAAGTTTAAAGCTTAAAATAATTTGATAACCTATGGTCTATTTCTATCAAATAATAACATAAAGCAATTAAGTATGTAATGATTGTCAACCAAGGTAGTGTTGATGCATTTGAATCACTATGTAACTGCAATCTACTGAATCTGTTTTTATTTTCCAATTAAGACAGTAGAGACGTACATTTACGTCTCATTAAATTGCTGTAACAATAGTTCATTTAATCTTTAATTTACCAAAAGCCCAGTATTTACTCACGGTGTTTTATTCTTAATTTTAGACTAGTTTTAGTGATAGATGGTGCTCGGCGGATGGATACGATGACTCACTGAAACCCATGTGTATAAAGATGCGTTGTGCACCAAAAGGAAGTTCCTTTCCTTTTCCCTGCGTCAGTGAGCACAAGGGACAGCTCTTTTGCTGCATTTTATTCAAGAAAAGTCAACGAAATTAACAAGGTATGTTAACGAGTGTTTGGCTACCCTTTTAAGCACTGTATGCAGTGTTAAAATATGCGTTTTTCTCACCACTTGCCTAACTAGTACGTGCATATTTGCTGAATGACACCTCAGGCGTCTTGATAACGTTAACCGTCTCGAAGGAATAAGCGAGTGTTTAGTCGTCGTGTTAGTCGTTTAATGTAGTCGACTGAATGTATTTTTTTTTCTTCGTGTTGCACACGGGACCAGTAATGATGTTGGGCAGGGGGAGATGCGGCACTCTGCCGCACCGAGAGGACGGGCAGGTGTGGTAAACGTGACAGCTCTGTATCACGTTTTTTTTAAGAGGAAAAAAAATGTGACCTAAAAGCGAGCCATTCTTGGTGTTTGCTGGTCATCAACCGGGCACACTTACTGACTTAAACCCACCATAGACTCAAAATAGTCCGTTTTTATCGGATAGAGGTTGCTGAATGCCGACCAGTGTAGGGTACGTTGACCGTAACCGTTGCGTAATCTATGAACATGAGCGTCTCGTGGCTCTCAGATTTCCGCCATGAGCTGCTGAAAAAAAAGAATGTGCCCGTTGTTCTATATTTGTCAACTATCACGTCGTAGTTTAGCTTTTATGTTCCATTATATCAGTTTTTTGCGCTTCCCAAGCACGTGCTGCTGCGTCCATTGTCTATGCGTCGACGCCATGTTGCTAAACGGGCACTTCCGCCCATATGAGTTCACATGATGGCAACGGTCCCAACTAGTGAAGCCTGACAACGAGATCCTTATATTTCCCATCCAAGTTGATTCAGTTTAAACATTTGTCACTCTCTTAATCCACCGTTCTTTTATATGTGATGTAACAAAGAGTCCTTTATATGCAGATGCCTGAAGAAATGCACCAAGAGGAGGAGGCTGAGACCTTTGCTTTCCAAGCAGAGATTGCTCAGCTGATGTCCCTGATCATCAACACCTTTTATTCCAACAAGGAGATTTTCCTCAGGGAGTTGATCTCCAATGCCTCTGATGTAAGCATATAGGAGAAACACACCATCCTAATTTAATATTCTATATTATATCGGATTTAACAGCATTTTTTTCCCCATCTGTTTCTAGCTAGAGTTTTTTGCTCATCTGTCTTGCACAAAGTGTCAATAGTGAAAGCTTTATTATAGTTTTTTGTGCGTTTCAGGCTCTGGACAAAATCCGCTATGAGAGCTTGACCGAACCCACCAAGATGGACAGTGGCAAGGAGCTGAAAATTGACATCATCCCCAACAAAGCTGACCGCACCCTGACCCTTATCGACACTGGAATTGGCATGACCAAAGCCGACCTTATCAACAACCTTGGTACTATTGCCAAGTCTGGCACAAAGGCCTTCATGGAGGCCCTGCAGGTACTGTGATCTCTTCTGAAAAATTAAGGCCTACAGAGTTGTCTGAAGCCCAAACAAATGGGAAATAAATTGCATGTAGGTATAGTATTATCCTAACGGTGCAGCTGTTTGTTCTTCTAGGCTGGAGCTGACATCTCCATGATTGGTCAGTTTGGTGTGGGTTTCTACTCCGCTTACCTCGTTGCTGAGAAAGTGGTGGTCATCACCAAGCACAATGATGATGAGCAGTACGCCTGGGAGTCATCTGCCGGGGGTTCCTTTACAGTCAAGGTTGACAGTGGTATGTCCTCATTTTTAAAGACTCTTACATTTTATGCATTCGCAAGTCAGACATGCTAACACGACTCTTAACAGGTGAGCCCATTGGCCGTGGAACAAAGATCATCCTGCACCTGAAGGAAGACCAGACAGAGTACATTGAGGAAAAGAGGGTCAAGGAGATTGTGAAGAAGCACTCCCAGTTCATTGGCTATCCCATCACTCTCTTTGTAAGTGCCTTTAGACATGGATTTAACCACCTAAACTTAATTTATGGTGGCCAAATCGTAACGTCACTACTCTTGTAGGTGGAGAAGGAGCGTGACAAGGAGATCAGCGACGATGAGGCAGAAGAGGAGAAAGCAGAGAAGGAAGAGAAAGAGGAAGGTGAGGACAAGCCAAAGATTGAGGATGTAGGCTCAGATGACGAAGAGGACTCCAAAGACAAGGACAAGAAGAAGAAAAAGAAGATCAAGGAGAAGTACATCGACCAGGAGGAGCTGAACAAGACCAAGCCCATCTGGACCAGGAACCCAGATGACATCACAAATGAGGAGTATGGTGAATTCTACAAGAGTCTGACCAATGACTGGGAGGATCACCTGGCTGTCAAGGTACACGCAGCACACCTAAAGAGCAACTCCTGCATGCATCACATGGCCTACTTTGCTTTAACTGACCAAAGCTCTTGGCCTTAAATTGAATTTTGTCTTCCTTGCAGCACTTCTCAGTGGAAGGCCAGCTGGAGTTCCGGGCTCTGCTCTTTGTTCCTCGTCGTGCACCTTTCGACCTCTTTGAGAACAAGAAAAAGAAGAATAACATCAAGCTTTACGTCAGGAGGGTGTTCATCATGGATAACTGTGAAGAGCTCATCCCAGAGTACCTGAGTAAGTTGGTTTGCCTTTTCCACTTTGGTCTTTATACTTATTTTTAATTTTTTTTTTTTTAAAATAAGGCTATTTTAAGGACTCTACTGCTATAGTAACAGATTCTGTCCACTCCAGACTTCATCCGTGGTGTTGTGGACTCTGAAGACCTGCCACTCAACATCTCCAGAGAAATGCTGCAGCAGAGCAAAATCCTGAAAGTCATTCGCAAGAACATCGTGAAGAAGTGTCTGGAGCTGTTCGCTGAACTCGCAGAGGACAAAGACAACTACAAGAAGTTCTATGAGGGTTTTTCTAAGAACATCAAGGTATTTGGACTGTGTGGCATGTGATTAACTGATAAATTGTTTACTACTTGCCTCTCCTGGGACTTATGAGCTCAGTGCTTTGCCATAAGTTAACAAGGCCTAGCCTTTATCTGTTCAGTCTGTAGTGGATTTTTTTTTTATTTTTTTTTTCCCCCCATTTAAATTTATTTTACTTTGTCGTTTCAACCAATCACTTTGTTCCCATGTAGCTCGGCATCCATGAGGACTCTCAAAACCGCAAGAAGCTGTCTGAACTTCTGCGCTACCACAGCTCCCAGTCTGGAGACGAGATGACCTCCCTCACAGAGTACCTGACCCGCATGAAGGAAAACCAGAAGGCCATCTATTACATTACTGGTACATTTCTATTATCAGATGGTTCCCCACACTACGCGACAAAACTTGTCATCAACTGAGGGTTGTCTCTCTTTTGTGTAGGTGAGAGCAAGGACCAGGTTGCCAACTCTGCCTTTGTCGAGCGCGTCCGCAAGCGTGGCTTTGAGGTCCTCTACATGACCGAGCCCATTGACGAGTACTGCGTCCAGCAGTTGAAGGAGTTCGATGGCAAGACGCTTGTGTCTGTCACCAAAGAGGGCCTGGAGCTGCCAGAGGATGAGGAGGAGAAGAAAAAGATGGAGGAGGACAAGGCAAAGTATGAGAATCTCTGCAAACTCATGAAGGAGATCCTCGACAAGAAAGTGGAAAAGGTTGGTGGTTATAACTTCCATAACTAGATTTTACGATTCAAGTTGCTGACCAACAATTGATCATTTATGTGGCAACAGGTCCCATAGTGGTCCCAACGTGAGTTGCGGTGAGTTTGTAGGTTTGAGATGGTCCTTTGCAGCTCGCCGTCTGACGTTTTACAAAACATAACATTTTAATGAATGTGATTGACGTGACTCTAACGGATGCTCGTTTCAGTTTGTTCTGGTTTGGCTACCACAAATGTTATGCTTTCAAAGTGGTAGGCATGGGGGTTGATGTTCCAGGTACTGGGGAGTGCGTCCAAATGTACCTGCTCTGCATGCCTCACTTAAGGTTTACTGACGACCTATTGGTGCTCAGACTGGATGTTTTTCCTCTTTCAGGTGACCGTGTCCAACAGACTGGTGTCCTCTCCCTGCTGCATTGTGACCAGCACTTACGGCTGGACGGCCAACATGGAGAGGATCATGAAGGCCCAGGCACTCAGGGACAACTCCACCATGGGCTACATGATGGCCAAGAAGCACTTGGAGATCAACCCCGACCACCCTATTGTGGAGACTCTGAGGCAGAAGGCAGAGGCTGACAAGAACGACAAAGCTGTGAAGGACCTGGTCATCCTGCTGTTTGAGACCGCCCTGCTGTCCTCGGGCTTCTCCCTGGACGACCCACAGACCCACTCCAACCGCATCTACAGAATGATCAAGCTCGGCTTGGGTAAGGCCAAACTCCAAAGCAGAATTTCCACGCTTCTGCTAAACGTGTAGGATGCTAATAAGCGACGGCTCACTTCTCTGCAGGCATCGACGATGACGATGTTCCGACTGAGGAGGCCACGACCACAGCTGTCCCCGAGGAGATGCCCCCACTAGAAGGCGATGGGGATGATGATGCTTCACGCATGGAGGAAGTTGATTAAACAGACCTCACCCAAACTTAAAACACTTCAGCCCTGTTTTTTCCAATAGCTCATCCTTAAAAAGTGCAGTAACTGCAAAACTAATAAGTCATTCCTGTTGTGTGGTGGACCAGTGTTGCTCTTGTTGCTGAGAGCATTCTGCTGCGAGACCTTGAAAAAAGCGATTTTGTTTTTGTTTTTTTTGCTGTTAAAGTTCATGGTGGCCACACATTGTTTTAACAAGTACCCTGTTGCACTGAGTTTTAAATGTTGGTGTGGTAAACGTGCAAACACAGGAACTGTACATTCCTTATTGGATCGGGTCCGTAGAGTTCTGGGAGGTTCTGTTCATGTGCAATACTGCACGCTGCATGGATAGAGGACTGTTTGATTCCCTTGCCTGTGTACAGGCGTATCTGTATTCAAAGTCTTGTTTTTGCAAAAAAAAAATTAAAGATGGAATACCTTATTTCTTTCTGTATTTGTGTATTTTGTTTGTATTTCTGCACAATCATGACTGGCTCTCAGCTGTATGGTGCTGATCCCACCACCACTAGGTGGAGACAAACTAAAAGTTGATGCTTTTGGTGTGCAAGCAACATTAGGTGCTGCTGTTGGGTGAGTTATGCTGAAACTTAATTTGCCTGAAGGACTTGAAAGTGTATCTGTTCACAAATGGCTGAAGGTGAGGGACATGTCTGCTGCAGTTTGGGTCATAACACTGTAACGCTGTCCCTTCTGGCCATTTAATGTCTTTCTGTTAAATGATTAACGGTAATGAAGCTAATAGTTTGGCTGTTTAATTTCGCTCTGCACACAATGTCTTTTACATGATAAATTTATGGAGGACAAAAATACCTGACATTTTAAACAAAAAGCAACAGGGAGGTGGAAAGACTGACCTGCTAATCTGAAAATAGACACTTGTAGAAGCATATGACCAATTTGCATGAAAGGCCAACAGGTAGTGAAGGTGCAGGTTTCTAGAAAACAAGATGGTAACGGGCCCTTGGGAGAAGCAGTTGCTTTCCTGTAACTCACGTGCTTTCATGTAAGAGGGGGCGGCAGCAACTGCTTTTTTTTTTTTGTGTGTGTGTGTTGACAGTGAAATTGTGAAGCGTGGGTGTCTGTCCCTTTTCGAGCTCGACAACTCTTGCTAAAGTCAAAATGAAAGAGGGGACCTCAGGCTGCGTCATTCAGAGACCTGACTAAACTATTTTAATGCCGGAGGAACCTTCCTCCAGCGGCCTCTTCGGCTTCGATTAAAGACCTCTGAACATTCCATGGAAATGATCAAAGGTTACTCAAAGTATTTTTCAGAGAATCTTGCTCCACCACTGAAAGGTCAGCCAGAATAATTCATGCAACTTTCAAAAACTCCAAAAACATTCCAGAAAGTTCTGTGAAACTAACAGTGCAAAAACCTTTCCTTTTTTTAGTATCCTTAAATATTTGACAACTCACTCAAAAATTTAAGTGAAGATACTCTGAGGCATCCAAGAGGCCTGAATTAATAAAATGAGATCAGTTAAGTGAAATTAGAATTACACAGTACTCTGACTGTCTTTTGGGGAGGAACGATCCCCAAGACTCGCAGCTTCTCTGTGAGGTTTTTGTAGAATAAACTCCCAGGTGTATTTTGCAGCGCATTCTTTGTAAGTTCCTCAAAGCATCCCATTATTATTTGCGACACAGCTTATTCAAAAGGGAAATCAAAGTCCAAATTGACACATCTGAGTGTTTGAGAGCTGCTTAGAAAAATCCCAGTGACATCACAGGTTTTTTTCATCACGTCAAAAGGTGCTTGTAGTCCTTTCTGATACTTTGCTTTCTCTATTTTCCCCCCCCTAAAGCTGATTACTACTACATCCTGTGGAAACAGTCGATTCTCTAGAGAAACCGTGTCTTCAAGCCACAAATGCTGAATGCCTCGCTTTGGGGGTTCCTGGTGCGTCAGCAGACTGCGGTGCAAAATGTCACAGCTCTGGATGCCTTATTGACCCGTTTGGTGCTTTTTCACACGACCCACAGCAGCAGCATCCGTCCTAGATTATTCTGGGGGGATATGAAATCTCTCATCAGTTAGCTGGAGTTCTCACTCACTCGTTGGTGTTTTTGTCTCCCGCCGACGTCAGAACACCACAGGGAGGCCAGAAAATGCTAATCACAGTCAAACCTGGCGTGAGGGGTGCTCCTCATCGCCCTGTCCCGAGTTCAGTCTAGTTTCAGTGACATTTCGAATGCAAAAAATGATCTTGAATATCCTCTTACACACGTCAAGCACTTTGAGGACTTTTGGCTTAGACAAAGTCTCTTTGTGGTCTGCAGCTGGTACAGGACAAAGCACCCTGGATGACGAGAACATTCAGTCCTGGGTTTGCCTCTTTGGATTTCCTATTCTTTACAGGCCTCTCATGCTCTCCATTGTCTATATTTTATCCTCGCCTATATCTATATAGAGATTGCATGTCCAAACACAGAAAAAAAAAAGTCCAAGTTGCTTTTGTAAAGTCCAAGTTCCCAATCTCTGAAACAACTTCACCATTCATCTAAGATCAGGTCTCATATCTTCATGCGGACATCAGATTCAAGGGTTTTTGCGGATCCCTTGTGGGGCGTAATCTTACCGTCCTGGTGTGGTTTGCTTTCACTATCACAGCTTTGGAACGGCCTCGGAAACAAGACGGGGGGTAGCGGCCTTGGCCCGAGTAACTGCCGGGTGAGGTTCGCTACATTTGCCAGAGACCTCTCCACAACAGTGTATCTGTCTCACAGAAATAATGTAACAAATCAAGTGAAACTTTTCATATTTTCAAGGGGCTGTTTCAGAAGGGGCCCATTTAACATGAGTCAGCCAAATCTACACTGAGTTCTCCCCTCAGTCAAATCGAGAGCGGGGGGTCTGACGGGGCCCGAAACCAAAGGGCCACACGTCCTGAGCTTCTTTTTACACCCCGTCTCACCTCTTTTTTTTAAGTTTTTCATTTGAATTATTGAAAAAGGGGCTCGGAGATATTGACAACATGCCGCCAACTTGAACGGGGAGAGGGACTCTGTGAGACGAGAGGAGCCGGGGAATTTCCCCATCCAGCCGCTTTGAGGTTATTAAAACCAGAGGTAAGGTTTCCTTAGCCCTTCATAGTCAAACCCGGCCCTGAGCCGGGCGCCTGTTGAATCATGAGGGGGAGGGGGTTAATGAATCAGTGGGGAGCACGTCAGACGTCCTGAGAATGACTTTTGTCGACTGTGTTTGATGACACAGAGGAAGAGGGACCCGGCGTGGAAAGATCACTCTGGGGAAAGAGATTTAAATGACTGATCTGATGCGATTAAAAACCAACAAAACCTGTTGTGATGAGACATCCGTTGAAGTATTAAAGGGGAAATAAGAAAACATCATTTAGGTTTGTGGAAAGGCAATTTTCAAAAAGAGACTCCCTGATTTGACAAACTGATGCTGATTTTTCTTTTGGGGGGGGGGTTGCTGATACTTCATCAGAAATATGCAAAATGTGGAGGTGTTTTCGGCTAAGCTGGAATCTGAAAATGTGTTGATAAAAACCCAGAAATATTTTCTTGGATTTTTTGGATTAGTTTTGCCCCTCATACACACAAATTAAAAAACCCAACCGGTAACTCATCAGGTCTTAAAATGATGCAAGTACAGTACAAACACAGATCAGACTAGATAAGGCGTTATTTATTAAATATAAATCCTGGGCAGTCTATGGCCCAAGGAAACAGAGCATTAAATGATAAAAAAGAGGTCTGTGTGCCGTCTATGGGCTTAGAGAAGAATGACAGGGCAGCAGCTCCTGCTGACTCAGCATCCAGGTGATATCGCTTGCCGCAGCGGTGGAAGTGGAGACATGATAGAAAGACTCTCAGCCGGCTCTTTTTCAGTTAATTCCACACGTTTTATTAATTGAGTAGCCAGAGAAAGTAGTAGAATGATAAAAACAATGTACCGGTAACGCCCCGTTTCCCTTGCGAGCGTTCTTTTTTCCCAAAGCGCCCTCTGGGCCAGAAGTGACCGAACTGAGGCGTCAACACTAAATCCTTTCAGTGTTTCGAACATTCGCATGAAAAACACATGAGGCGGTCCTTTTTTCTTGCCAGAGAAAATGGTTGGCTGGAAATAATTGCTAAGCATAAGAGATATATTTACATGGGTTTGGATGACCAAATTTATAAACAATACATATAAACTGTGGAAAAAACAAAAATAAAAATGAACCAGAAAGGTGCAAAAGTTGTTTTTTTTTCCCCGACAGGATCTGGAGCCGTAATGCCAGAATACTGTACAGTCCATGTAATTTCCCTCAGGGATTATCAAAGTATTTCTTATTCTGTTTTTGATGTAGTGCACTTTTTATTCCCCAAAATGTTTGCAGCTGCAGGAACATTTGAAGCCATCTTAAGTTAAGCAGAGATGCATTATTGTGTCTTCAGACTGTGTAACCAGTTTTTAAAAGTAAAAACTTCCCATTAAGTAACAGAAGGCCCTGCTCTCCAATTAAAAGAAATGAAAAAAAAAAGAAGTCTCCCTCCTGAGACAGAAACCCGACACTGACAGAGAGAAAGGCGTCGTCTCTGGAAGGAGACCGTCTCGTATTATCCTTTTGTGGAAAGGTAAAATGTTTCCAACGCTCGGATAATAATGCTTAAACGTACATTAACCTTAAACTGGCTCCACAAGCCAAATTACATTCTGCTGAATGAGAGTTGGAGAACGAGTTTGAAACTTAAGACGATCTTACAGGCACTCAAAGCTGCTCCGACCTGAAACGTCCCACCGACCCCTTGGGGGTCTCGGTATCCCTTTCTGTACCGATGCTACCGGAAAACAGTTAAAACATATGAAGAAGAACAGTTTAAAAGGAGAAAAAAAGAAGAAAAAAAAAGACCCCACAGATGGACAAATAGCGCCACAGAAAACGTGGCGCCCGTCCCCAGTCCGGCGCGGCGGCGGCGGCTACACCTTCTGCGCCGGCGGCGGCGGCGGCCGGCGGCCGGACTTCACGCGGCTGCGCGCGTACACCCGCAGGAAGAGCGCCAGGAAGACCACGGCCACGCCCAGGCTGCCCACCGGCGTGACGGCGTGGCCGTACAGGAAGCAGGACAGGAGGATGGCGATGGCCTGCCGCAGCGTCATGATGATGGTGAAGACGGCGGCGCCGAACTGGTTGATGGTGTAGAAGATGAAGAGCTGGCCGCAGGCCGAGCACACCGACAGCAGCACGGCGTGGAAGGCGAACTCCGACTGGCGCGCCATGAAAGCCAGCGAGTCGAAGAGGGCGCCCTGCTCCAGCAGCGAGCCCACGGTCAACAGGCAGGAGAACAGGTTGACCCCGAACATCATCTGCACCGACGACATCTTGTGCTTGAACAGGTTGTCCTGCCAGTTGGAGGTGAAGCTGTCAAAGACGATGTAGCCCACCAGGATGACCACGCCGCTGAAGGTGGTGACGGTGGACGGGTGCTTGCTGGCCGTGCTGGTCAGCAGGAACATGCTGACGCCCACCGAGATCAGCACGGCCGTCAGGTACTCCCAGTACTCGTAGCTCTTGCGCGACACGATCTTGCCCATCAGCATGACGGGGATGACTTTAGAGGCCTTGGCCAGCACTTGGGTGGGGAAGCTGATGTACTTAAGGGCCTCGTACTGGCACCAGCTGCTCATCACGTTGGAGAGCGAGGCAAAGGAGTACTTGTACATGGGCGCGCCGTGGCGCGGCTGCTTGAAGAGCACGCACCACAGGCCCGCCACGGTCAGCGCCAGGATGCGGTTCATGAAGACCAAGAACTGCGAGTCCTTGAATCGCTCCCCCTCCTCCCCGGGAGTCTTGGCTCCGTACGACCGCGTCATCACCCTCTCCTGGAGGACCCCCCATGTCAGGTACGACGCCTTAGGAAAGCAAAGCCGGACAGTAATGATCAAGAGGAAGATACGGCTGACATCTTAAGTGCTTAGCGGGACATCAAACAAACAAATAAATAGCGTATTTTCCGCACTATAAGGTTCTGCATCCACTAGATGAAGCTGCGCTAAGAGAATGTCAACAAAACAGTCAGATAAGTCAGTTAGACTATATTATCAGAATACAAACCAGCGTTCTGACAACTCTGTTCACTCCCAAAAATGAATAAACAGCTTTTTTATTATTCTTCCCGAGCTGGTGTCAGGGACTCAGTGTTTTCGCAACACAGTTTATCTTTTAACAACAACAATGGATAATAGGTAATGCAACATTTTTATCACGTAGTGGAGGGGAATAAGGAATAAGGCACAAGCATAAGCAACCGGTCGGTTTTTGAGAAAACTGAAGGCTTTTAGGTGCGCCTTATAGTGCGGAAAATACAGTAAATAAGATTCCTGTGGATTTTTTTTGGGTGCTGTGAAACTGGAATCCTACACATGCAGGAGACAAAGCATGAACCAATGGGGCTGTTTACTTTTGGGCGGTTCTCCTACCTGAAGTCCGGCCGCACAAAAGATCAGCTTGACAGCTTGTTTGACCGAGGAGGCCGAGTCGCCATCGTTCCGGCTTGCGTTGGACACGTCATCCAACAGGCCGGTCTTGTCCTCGCTGCCAAACACGCAGGCCTTTATCACGGGGTAGCACAGGCCACTACCTGAAAGGGGGGAAACGAAGAGACGTGGGCCAGGGGAAAACAGGGTCCGCGCATTTTTTATTTTATTTTGCTACATCAGCGGCTTTCCAGCGGGAGAATCACCGGCCGAACCTGTGTCTAAGTAATTGGAGCGCTTGAAGTAGCTGATGAGGAGGTAGCCGGGGACGATGATGGTCGAGTAGCCCAACAGGTTGACCAGGAAGCGGAAGAGCCAGACGTCGTGCCAGCCGTCCAGCAGCGAGGAGTCGTTCCCTTCCGCAGAGGAAGGGAACAAAAGCAGCCCCAGCGCACACCCCACCCTGCAAGGTAAACCGACACAGAGCCAGGTTACACAAATTAGGGCGGCAATGTTTGACTTTAGTCAGATTAAAACAAACAAAAAAGTGCCACATCAATGAGTTTATGGGGAAGCAGGCAGGAGAAAAAAGGACGGCGATGAATCACACCGCCCGATATCTGGACACTATCAACTTAAAGAGACATCACAACACACAGTGAACATTGTTTTGGCTCAGATAACCAAGTTCACACTGCACAAAGGAGTTCATACGCTGACATTTATGAGGGGGAGAAACCATGTGAGGCAAAGCATCATTCCTAATAATATCCAAAACTTAGTGTTCTGTTTAAAAACGGAGAATGCTGTGGGATAATATGGCCTCTCTTGCCGGTGGAACACCCAAACATGTTTAAAAGAAATTCCAAGCCACTCTACGAGGAAGTCAAACCATTTCTCTCAAAGTCTGTGCTGAATCAAAACGACAGATCTGACACTTCTTGTGCGCTCAAAGGATCTGACACTTCTTGTGCGCTCAAAGGATCAACGACCTTCTAAACTTCGCCGGCTCACAAAGCGAGATAAGCTAAATCAGCTTAAAGTGCTCATGCACACCCCCGGTGACATCTTATTAAAACCTGTGTCCGCTGCCGCCGTGGCATATCCTATTTGGGAAGAGGCAGGGCCTCCTCCCAGGGGGCCTGCGAGCCTGAACTAACACAGAGCTCCTTTGTGTGCTGTACCCTGGTCCGCCAACGGCCCACTGCTGCAAAACCTGGCCTCCGAACAAGAAACTTAATACATGGAGGAATGCACGGCCCTGACGGGGTAGCCTGCAAACACACAGAAAACACCATCAGAATTCAGCTGAGCGCTTGTCATGGAGGAAGAGTGTCCTATATGGATCATCTAAAGAGGAGAAGATGCCAATAAACACAAGCAGTAACCGTTCATCCCATGGTGTAACTGATGTAGACAAATGATGCCTCAGATGTGAGGGGGAAAGAGGAGGGGGTCTACATCTTCTCTATCACAATTAGCTACAAGTTGAGTTAGTCATAGCACATTTGGACGTGTCATTACAAATGGTGTGTGACCAAAAGAAAAAAAGGGGCTCGGGAATTATGCACATCTGTGCCACGAAATAAAACGACACTCTTAATAGCACTGAGCTGCGCTCCGGCCGACGTAACGAGTGAACATTTGCCAAATAAAGAGTCAAAAACCAAACACTTGTGGTTGGGCACAGTGGGCTGAATTAAGTGGAGCTCAACACTTCGTTTGCGTTCCGCCCAGACGGCAGTTCGCAGTAGCCAAAAGACTCAAAACACGCCGGGTCTTGTAACTTCGAACGGCTCAACTTCCCCACGTCTAAAACTCATCTTTAGCCGGGCGTGTTTTTCTTATTAGCGCGTCTCGCCCTGAGACGTTACCTCCATAATGAAGATGGCATTTCCCCAACACTGTGGCACCGCACCTGGCGCCGAACGCACGGCAACACACTCAGACTCTTCCGCGGCGACACAGCATCAAGCCGCTCCCTCCTGACAGGTTGATATGTTTTTAATAAGTGGGGCTTGGCCGCCTTTTGCCCTGGAATAGAACACTTATCCCCAGTAGCCGATGTGGTGGCTTCAACAGGAAAGCCTGCCCCTCCTTCGTTTAGAAAAGCATCGAAGATGCCGGCTTCCCACCGGTGACTCTCCCCCTGTCGGCGTGGAGGAGTCACTGCATGTCAAAGCCGTTAAATAATGATGAGTTTCTTAATATAGTCTAACATGCTATTTTAATAGGTTTGGGGGTATGGAAGATTAAATCTACTTTTCTGTCTTCATTGTATTTTTTTCACTCATAGTGTTTTATTAAAATCTTATCTTTGAAATCTCATTCTGTCCACATATGGTAATTTCACAATTCCTTTGCAGCACTGACAACAGGAAGTGGAAAATAACACAAACTCATGCATATTTTGTTTTTTTTTCCCTTTATCATAGATCCCGATGGTTTGACATTAAATGCATGAAAATGTATTACTTCACATGCAAATACTGTTATATATAATGCTAAATAGATAAATATTTTTTTGTGGCAGAGCGACAGCTGGGACAGGCTCCAGGCCTCCATAGACTAAGGATAGGTGGATTAATAAATAAACTATATACATATCCATCCATTTTCTTGGATGGATATGTAGGTATGCAGGTATACACATACATATACACCAAAAAATATTACAGTCTGTTTCTAATCTTTTTTTAAAGGTATGTTCAATGACAAAGAAAATACACAAAGTAGCAAAGTAGCATTAATGAAAGCATATTTAAACATGATTTCTTCCAATTATACTGTTCTGTACTGCATCTAATTGGGAAAAAAAATGAAGCACAGGAATAAAATGTGTCATGGCTCGCCTTCACAGACCACATGCCAGTAATAACAGAAAAGGATTTCGATATTGAAACCTGTTTAAAGTGTGTAATAATACAATACAGAACTATTCAATATGGGTCACTGTGCCTCCTCCATCAATCATGCACATTAAAGTACAAGCGTAACATATAATTTGTCATACTTAATAATGTCTCTGCTCCATTTAGTCATCCATTTAAACCATGCAAATAGAGAGCAGACATTGTTTCTGGTATGATTAAAACTTTTGCTTTGATGTCAAAATGTATGCCATGTATGCCAGCCTCCACCTCGCTTTGGTGGATCTCTGTAAATATAATATAATAATTATGTTATTTCCTCTATTATAAAAGCCACGAGTTGATTTGTCAGGGGGGTTACAGTGGTTTTGCCTGTCAAAATCTTTAATAAACATAACAGAGGCAGAGGACAGTGATTTGCTAAAGGAAGTTTGGCATGTTGCCCGGTAAAGACAGGGTTCAGACCAAAAGCCTCCCACTGTGTCCCAAAAGCAACAGCCTCTCCAACAGGGTATTCTCACATTTGTTCTCAGGATTTTGAGAATTTCTGCTAGTAGCTCAAACCAGTCCAGAAAAAGCAACGACTTCTGATTTCTGAGGCAGAGAATCTTTCTCTGAGCTGTGTAAATAAAACATTTCCAGGGGAGAGCTGAAGATTTTCAGACTTCACGTACTTAAGTGAGGTTTTTATCTCCAATTTTCCAAAGGAAATCTGCCACTTGAACTGAGAGGTGAGTTGCTGTGGAGTGACCCTATCACTGGAACAACACCCATCTTTTTTTTTTTAGAGGGAAACTACATGGAAGAATGCTTGTAATTTTTCCCAACAGCTTTTTGGTGATTTTGAGACAACAGCCTGGCCTATGCTGCACATAACACAAATTAGCTTAAGAGTTTCACACTCAAATGGGGAAGTAGCTGTAGTTTCAGAACTCTGTTCTAACTTTCGTCCGCAAAGCTTTGACTGCTTTACATCTCGGGAAAGGTTTGGTATTTGTAGACCACCCTGCTTTCATCAAACACATCTCACCTGAGTGTTAGTCTTTGTTGTGACCAGGCAAACAGTCTGGTTAGACCTCTGCATGAGCCGTACCGCGAACCAGTTTAGCTGCTGGCATGTTTACGGAACAGATAGTCAGGGTGGAATTTCCAGCTTCTCATTGCTAATTGTATTGCGGGAGCCAAGAGGAAGAAGATACTTGGAGTAAAACAGAAGATGCACCTTTAAAAAGCAACTGACAGGAAAGACAAACAGATTACTTCACACGGAAGTTTGAAATGATGATTAAAGAAATGGCTGCACATGGTAAAAAATTGCATCTAACTTTCCTTTTGCACAGTCTGCACAACAGCTTTCATGATGCTTTGATAAACTTGGAGTTTCCTCTGCGAAACAGACAGCAGATTGTTGGAGATTTGTGACAAGACAAATGCGAAAACAAGTTAGAATGAATTTTCACTTTCTTATTTTCAGAAAAGAGCACAGCATGCTGTTTTTTGTAAAAATGATTTTATTACAAAATAAATGAACTGCATCAACTAGAAAGGCCAGTGTAATTACGGTTTTCTACAGATTAAGAATAAAATGAGATAAATAGAGAAAAACTGTTCTACAACAGGAAGCAGCAAACCTAAAAAAAAATCACTTGAAGCTGCATTTTATGTTATATATTACCTTTTTTTTCATGGACATTGGATTTCTTCGACAGCAGGGGTGTGTTTACTTTGCCAGATTTACATTTACTGATTCAAATAAAAAAGGTTCTGATGGCCGTCACAACATTATGGAAACTACAGCAATGGAGAGTTTGGAAAACAGACAATTTCAATATGTGAAAGAGGTAGAAATTTGACGGGAAATGAGCATATTGATTGTAAGTTTGGCACTCACAGTGAGATGGGTTATTTAGGCAAGTACATCCCAACTCAAAAACATTATTATTTTTTAAAATCAGAGTTCAAATGAACACGGCCACTCTGCATGTCAGAGGAAAAGATTTAGATCTCTAGACATGAGAGTGAACTACAGAAAGAGGCACTGTCTAACAGAATTTTCATCCTGAATACAACTATCTATTGAAAACGACTGCTCCAGCTCTCACGAGGCTCCCAGCAGTTGTTCACCCTTTGATTCGGCTCAAAAGTTCACACCAACCACCGACCTTCCAGAGATTTGGATGTCATCAAAAGGGAGGAGAGCCAAGATCTGAAAGAAAAAGAAAAAGAAAAACAAAAAAAATCTAATTTTACTGGAACTGCTTGTAAACATCCGCTGGTGTCACTGGCAAACAACAGGAAGAGAAAAACTTTTGCAAGAAGCATAATTTATGCACATGCAGCTGCATAAGTCAAAATTCTGATATGTTGAAGACAGCAAATCATTCTGATTATTTTAGTTTCTCCAAAAATTCTCTTAAGAAAGCAAAGTGCGCACTAAAGCAAGATAAAGGTGTCTGTATCTGGTGAGACAAAATGGCACTGCCTTTTAAAAAGCTCAGAGTTGTTGCATTAATCAAGGCTGTTTCCATCTTTTGTGACTTTTAAATCTCAGATTGACATACTATTGAGGTCAGCTATGGGGAAACATGCCAGGTGTAACAGGACCCTTTGTTTTTCTTGCCATTCTGGAAACTTTGACAAAGACAGCTTTAAAATGTGAAAACTGAGAAGTTTCTTTGTCTCTGGAACAGTAAATGCTCATTTAGAGCTCGATGGCGGCAACAGATAAATGTTCCTAAATGTCAGGACGAAAGGAAAAAAAAAAAGCTCATGATATAATCAGGTATAAAAACTGCACTCGAAAGAGGCTTTCAAAAGATTTATAATCTCATTGTAGTATTCCAGACTTTTAGAGGATTTTATAAGCCTTAGTACATAATATCTGGAAAGATTCAGACAAAAAAAAGAGAAACAGCACCATGAGTGCCAATCCCTGGCAGGCCGGCGTTAGCGCTTTTCTGCCTGTGCAGAATGCTGAATGCTTACGTCCTCGTCGCCAGCAGCCAGATCCAGTGCCGTCTCGTCCTCTATGTTTCGCAGCATTTTGTCGGCTCCGAACTGACAGAGCAGGTGGGCGATGTCGGCGTCTTTCCTCCCCACCGCCAGGTGGAGGGCCGTGCAGCCGTTGAACATGGCGGCGTCCACGTCTGCGCCGCTGCTGAGCAGCAGCCTGACCAATGAGAGGTCATGCAGCTCGACGGCGAGGTGAAGGGCCGTTTTACCGCTGGTGCCTTCCTGTGGGGGCAGGGGGAGACGCAAGAGAAAGGATGGGACTTCTTTATATCCACAAGCACGAAGGGAGACATCCCCGTGTCTCCTGTTACAGAACTAATTACAATAAGGATTCAACACCACGTGTGTAGCAGACCGATATGTTGGGACAGTGATTTAAACCAAGAGGAATGTCTGGGGTAGTTACAGGGCTGACCACCATGTCCCCTTCCATCAATAGAAAGTTAAGACCAGCAGGCCAGCCTGGCCTAATCATATCTCAATTCTAATTATGTCTCCCTGAATTCTGCAGGGCGCACTGAGCCGGGCTCATATCACTATCAGTGCCGCACAGGTGCAGCGGCCTCTCGGACGGGAACACAACCTTACTCACAACACAGCATTAGTAAACAGGGTATGGATAAACCATTAGTGCAGGAGAACCCTTCTCGGGCCATGAAAACGCGATTGCTCGATTTTCTACAGTCAGACCCGGTGTTTTTCCTACCTGGATATTAAGGTCTGCTCCCTTTTTCATCAGGAGCATCATGGCTAGATGCCGCCTGTTCAGTGCAGCCAGGTGAAGACAGGTCAGACCTGCGAGGGCACAATCGTTGAATACGAAACACAGGACTCAAATCAATAACAAAACAAAGCCTGGTACAAAAAACACTGCTGGTCTCTGCGGCCAGTTTCCAGTTCATGACCACGTAACTGAATTTATATTTAAGATTCCTGTGGTAACTGGATCAATGGTGGGATTTATTCATTAATAAGGACACTTTGGTTTATTTATAATGGAGCCAACTGATAAGGACGAGCAGTCTGCTGCTGCAGTGAGGTAATTCCCCCCCACCTCTCCAGTTCTGGGTCTCCAGCACCCGCTCTAGTTTGCTAGGAGAGGTGTCTCTGGTCATTTCGGTGATGCATTCCGTCAGCCCGTGCTGGCAGGCCACATGCAGCGCCGTGTTCCCGTCCTGGTCCTGCAGCTCCAGACTGGCACCCTTGTCCACCAAGCTCCTCACGACATCCGACAGGTCCAGATAGGTGGCCAGGTGCAGAGGACTCTGTGGGTCACCAGCAAACAAGGATTCAACTTTTTAAGACAGATTTCTTCCCCTGTTTGGCTGTTGGGCTGATGTTTGCTTTGGATAAGAGAAGTTCCCATTAAATTATTAAAGTTTTCTGAATCTGAATTTGTTATTTTCTTAAATCATGTGGGGTTTGGCTTTCTGTTGTTTTTCTCTTTGAAGACATCTGAATGACTCCATTATAAAAGCTTGAGACACGTTAAAACTTAAAAGAATAACACAAAATCTATCAACATGTGGCATCATTAACACAACGTTATAGATTTATTTTAAACCGCTGAGGATATAAATGAACATTCTTCTGAATTAGGTGAGGTCTAAGAATGACTACTCTGAAGAAATTAGGCAACCAAAAAAAAACCCTCTGCCCAGAGCTGAGTCAATGCAAGAAGTGCTGATTTTCCACTTCAAATATTTCTGTATTGGCAGCTCCGTCACCTCCATTCTCACGTTGAGTTATGGCTCTGTTCTGACTTCTTCACGGACTGGAACAATTCCACCACCCACATCCACACAAGGATCTCTCCCCAGCTCCCTGTGGTTCTATTTCTACATGGGGTAGAGGAGGGGAGTTTCCATTCAAAGTCCCTTATGAGCTAACACTGGAACCACCCACAGTGAGAGAGGACGGACTGCACATAAAGAGGAACAACACTTCTCTGGAAGTACAGCTATAAAAATAAAGCCACTGCTTCCACTATCAAGATACTAGTAATGAGGAAGTTGATATGGATAGCAAATTTGAAAAAATCCCAGTGGAAGCTGCTGTTGGCCCGAGCAGGGGAACCTACCTGGTATAAGTCGTTCTGGATGTCCAGCACTTCTTTTGGGAAGAACTGTATCAACTCCTGGGCGATGAATTTATCCTTATGGATGATTGCTAGATGAAGGATTCTATAGAGGTGGCAAAAAAACAAAAACAAAACTTTGCTCATTATGCTTGCAGAAACATCCACCACTGACTTATTTCACATTGAGCAATCAAACCAAAGTGCTGCAGAACGAAGTGGGCAGAGTTAAAGTCAACACTTCGGTAAAGTGTTGCATCACAATTTTCCTCAGTGTTCATCTCTAGAGCGCCTTAAACTGTAACTCTAAGTGGGCTGAGTGGTAAGACTGAGCTACTCGGATATTGTGCAATAGTAAAAAAAAAAGAAAGAGAAAAAAAGAACATTAAAAAGCTTAAGAAAATTGTGGGGGGAAAAACATGTTTGATGGAGTGAGCATGATAACCATCACCTGTGCGTGGATGCAGGGTTTGGAAGATACGACCAAAAAACAATAACACACTAACCTCAAACCCTGAGTAGGAAGTTGTAGCAAACTAATGTGTGCACAGGCAGGAAGTGGAATAGTGCACTGGTGCTTAATTTAGACCCACTGAGAACAACAATGGCCTTGTCTGGAAAAGGGTTTCAGGAGGTCTTAAATAAAGCTGATCGAGAGGGAAGATTTCATTGTGTGCAAATTCAACGAAGCCAGAAGGGATTTGTTACAACTAGACAGCGAAAAAGGCTCGTTGAAGACAGAGCCTGGCGCTTCTCGTCTCAGAGCAAGGGCCAATCCACCGAGGTGAATACCGCAGTCTGCTTCAGACGCAGACAGTGTGGGATCAAAAGTTCTCTAACATTTGATTTCAAAGCCCCTGACTCAGGTCCCAACGACCCATCTAAATGTCAGATCATGCTATCTGTTGAGCAAGGTGACAAAAAAAGAAATTAAACTAATGTGCTAAGCATCAGGATCTTCATGTTAGTTCACATACGCCCTGTAAGCTGTAGGAAAAGACGCTCTCAGCTGCATATTTAGGTTATTTTTACAATTAAAATGTTACATATTTGCTGGTCCGAGTAGAGGATTCGTTGCATTTCCCAGATTAATTATCATTCTGAGCATCCTCAGGATTTCGCCATTCAATTAGGATATTTCTTGTAAAAATGTTTAGAAAATCTGTATAGAACCTAAAAACACTTGCCTCAACAGCAAACAAATACAACCTCAACACAGCCTCTGGTTGAAATATTAGAGAAAATGACAAATTCAAATACATGGTTGATGCATCATAAAGCAAAATATGTTGATGACTTGTTTCCTGTCAAGTTTGTTAAATCGGTATGGAGTGATTTAAATGTCTGCATAACAATGGATGCCCCACATTGTTGAAGTTTGAACAGACTTCCTGGTTTGAGAAAGTAATGAATGAATGATTTCAAAAGAAAGGGAAAACAATCCCACAGAGTGAATGTTTGCATAATTCTGTGTCAGTTTTAAGCACCTTGTGTGGTGTGTTTCAGGTATTTTTCCCCCCTCTTGACAGGTAGTCTACGCATCTATAGTTAGGGTGTGAGAATGAAACCATGCGGCTTCAACAACTGGCAGGAGGAAATGAAAAGAGGTCAGAGAAACAACAACACCTCAGCAACGCCTGTGACTACATCACTTGCGGCATTACAGTGCTTGCAGGGCTCATTAAGAAGTCTGCTTCCACATCAAAACAGCCTGATGACATGGCAGCATTAGATGAGCGGGTAAAAAGAATCACGCTGCCAGATAAAACTACATGTGGAGGATGGGGTGTTTGGACTGTGGGCAAAGAGGTGAAAGTTTCATTGACTCATACTAAAACATGACAAATGGACAATTTCAAAACTGCTTTAAAAAATGCTTAGTTTTGCGGATAGAATAACAATTTGAAAAAAAAAAAGGAGAGTCAGAAACTCGTGCATTGTGGGAATAAACATGCATATGTAACATCCTGATCATCAAGTTTTTTGGCTCAAAAGCCAGCCATACAGCTACCTCACAGCATGTGCTTTGTCTGTAGTGCTGGGGGAAGTCCAGGCCTATCTTTTTCACTTCTGTTTTCTAACTGAGAAGGGCCTCTAACGTGACAGCGTGCATTCATGACACAGACAAAGTTCACAAAAAAAAAGTTTTGGAGTATTACACTGATATAAAACCCCCTTAGACACTACAATCAAGGGAAAACCAGAAGCGATGGTCTGCCTCAATCCATTTAAAGGTAGCAACTTTGAAAATCTTTTTCAATTCTGGAACACATTTTCAGCCCAATACCAAATATAATACATAGATTTTTTCAGCTCATGAAATAAACAGTTCCTCTTTATATTATGTTTATATCAGCCTGAAAGAAAATAAATAAGTCTCAGTGCCAAGTAAAGCATTTATGAGCTGGGATCATGTTCTCAGAGCAGATGAGTCTTTTACTAGGCGGGCAGGATTTCAGCCATTAGAAAAACTAATGTATGAAAGCTGCTTCAGTCCGAGAGACTCTTTAGCTCTCCAACTCTAATAAGCTGAGGTGTGGTTACCTTCCTAATGAAACACTGATATAATGAACAAAGACCTACGTGTCTCCATCTTCTGTAATGGTCGTGAGAGAATTCTCCTGCTCGGACAGTTCTGGGCTCCCCACTTCCTCGCCGACGGCGCCGGAGAGAGAGAAACCCTCCACCATGTCTGACAGACTCTCCACCGTGATGGACGAGGAGCCATAGGACGAGTCCAGGCGCTCGTCCACGGCTGAGCACTTGTCCCTCGGTCCGCTGAGGTCGGTGCTCGGCTCCCGTGGCTCCTCCGACTTGAGTATCGAGCGGTACGAGTCGATACCGGAGTCGGCGCGGCCCTCCTCCAGCAAGTCATCTTTGCTACAAGCTCCGCTCGCCATGGTTGAGTCCTGGTCCCCCCCCCCCGAACACCCACCCGCCTTCCCCCGGGAATTAAAGGCTTCTGGCGGGCGTCGCGGCTGGTCGCTCGGTGATGTGGCCGAACAGCCCGCCGCCGGCTCCAGAGGACACCGCCGCTCCTTTGTGAAACCGGAGGAGTGAACCGCTTCGTCTCATGCCACTAACCGCCGAGACTGCTGCTCCTCGCGGCAACAGGCCCCTTCGTCGCGAGCGCTTACCAGTCTGGGGGGAAACTTTTCAAAACATTGTCGAGCTACTTTCGGACTCGGTGAAAACGAACGACCGAAGCAGCGACCCGCGACGACGAGATATCCGGTCACAGCGCGAGCTCCGGGCGACGAGCGTACGCTCGTTTGAAAGCAGATAGGAGGAAAAGCTGGCACCTGGAAGCCAGAGCTGTTTTTGTCACATGGGGGAATCCCCGGTGAACGCGAGCGAACATACACACGCCCACAAGACGCGCACGCGCGATCATTTTTCACAGCGGAAGTACGAGATTTCCAAATTAAACGGTCCAAAACAACTTCCAGTAATTGAAATTCTAGTTTGTTTGTTTCTTCTTTTAACCGCTTTTGACTTATTGAAAAGTTTATCGTACATTTTCGAGATTGTACAAAAAACCTTACAAAAGTCCACGCCAAATAATCTCCTCCTGAAAACACTGATACTGGACTCCCCCAAAGGCCTGGTTTAGAGGAAATTCTTCTCTCCCTGGGCCACATTGGCATGTAGCATGTTTATTATTTGCATAATGATTTAAGCCCAAAAATCCTATGGTGCATTCCACTTGTTTCAGGTCTTTATAGCATGCTTTAACTTTATGCACTGAGGTAATACATTTAAAGACCTGTCTTGAGGTTGTGTCCTTCCTTGCCACTTGTCAAGTTATTAGATTTCTTCACAGTTTTAAAATCCAACTCACAGTAGCTTTTGCAATGTTCAGGTGCTGTTTTGTTCCAATAAGAGCCACTCAAGGCCTTGTGTAGGATTTCTGCACTGGATGAGACATCATTTCTTTACAATATCCACATAGGGAGGCAGGAGGTTGACTTGAATGTCATTTTCATTCATAGCCTCATAATGTTGACCCTGGGACAGCGTAGCTCTGATACCACACCATAAGCTTCATAGTTTTCTCATGGGGGATACAATGTGTGCAATTTCCTGTTCAGACTGCCAATTTATATTTTCTGCTTGATACACAAATTGTCAAAGAAGCTTTTGCTGTTAAGTCTGATTTACATCCAGATCTTAAGAAAAAAAGAAGGCCCAGCTGTTTTTTTTTACTTCAAACTTGACCATTCCACTGCAGCACAAGTTCATAAAAACCTGAGCTTTATTTTTACATTTAAAACCGGAAGTGTTATTCTTCAGGCGTGTCAATGAAACCACAAACGCTGCTATTTATGGGGCTGCAGCCTTTTTCAAGGAAACTGCAAAACCTTACCAGTTGTTCACATACTTTTTTCTGATTCATTGACAGAGATGCAGTTTGATCATCTGCATAGTAATCTGTGCAGGGGACAAAAGCAGCTAATTTGTTTGTCAGCATGTAGTGTGGAAGTAAGTTAACTTTTTCTAATTCAGAACAAAACAAAATAAAAAAGGAAGAATTATTTGGTCTTTTCCAAACTTAAAAAAGAGGTCACTCATGAAATTAGGGCAAAATAACTTTTGATTCAAGTTCACATCTTGACTTTTTGAGTGGATCATTGCGACACATTGGTTCTTTTCTTTTTCAGTAATTCTGTTGTGCTGTTGCGTGGCCCAAACTTACGCTGTCTAGTTTTTTGTCTAGTTTGGTATACAGAGGAGTTCTTTCTCTGCTCAGCGATGTTGCAACATATGACTGGTCCTGTGGCTGCAAAACAAGACAGAATCATCACTCCTCCATTACTTTGCTTGGCATTTCCTACAAGCTCTTTGTGCTGATATGCTGTGATAGCTTTTCTCCAAATGTGGTGCGGTTTATTATGCCCGAACATCTGATTTGTCAGAGGGCATTGTTTCAGAAGTCTTGTGGCTTTTTGCAAATGTAACTTTGCAAACTAACGCTGTACTGAGTTCCTCCTGAACAAACTATACTTGTTCAGTCCTTTTCTAATAGTTCCGTCATGATCTTTAATGTTTAAAATGCTTATTGGGGCATGTAGTGTTTGTGATATACAGGGGTTGGACAATGAAACTGAAACACCTGGTTTTAGACCACAATAATATATAAGTATGGTGTAGGGCCTCCTTTTGCGGCCAATACAGCGTCAATTCATCTTGGGAATGACATATACAAGTCCTGCACAGTGGTCAGAGGGATTTTAAGCCATTCTTCTTGCAGGATAGTGGCCAGGTCACGACGTGATGCTGGTGGAGGAAAATGTTTCCTGACCCGCTCCTCCAAAACACCCCAAAGTGGCTCAATAATATTTAGATCTGGTGACTGTGCAGGCCATGGGAGATGTTCAACTTCACTTTCATGTTCATCAAACCAATCTTTCACCAGTCTTGCTGTGTGTATTGGTGCATTGTCATCCTGATACACGGCACCTCCTTCAGGATACAGTGTTTGAACCATTGGATGCACATGGTCCTCCAGAATGGTTCGGTAGTCCTTGGCAGTGACGCGTCCATCTAGCACAAGTATGGGGCCAAGGGAATGCCATGATATGGCAGCCCAAACCATCACTGATCCACCCTCATGCTTCACTCTGGGCATGCAACAGTCTGGGTGGTACGCTTCTTTGGGGCTTCTCCACACCGTAACTCTCCCAGATGAGGGGAAAACAGTAAAGGCGGACTCATCAGAGAACAATACATGTTTCACATTGTCCACATCCCAAGATTTGCGCTCCTTGCACCATTGAAACTGACGTTTGGCATTGGCACGAGTGACCAAAGGGTTGGCTATAGCAGCCCGGCCGTGTATATTGACCCTGTGGAGCTCCCGACGGACAGTTTTGGTGGAAACAGGAGAGTTGAGATGCACATTTAATTCTGCTGTGATTTGGGCAGCCGTGGTTTTATGTTTTTTGGATACAATCTGGGTTAGCACCTGAACATCCCTTTCAGACAGCTTCCTCTTGCGTCCACAGTTAATCCTGTTGGATGTGGTTCGTCCTTCTTGGTGGTATGCTAACATTACCCTAGATACCGTGACTCTTGATTCATCAGAAAAGACTTGCTGTCTTGGTCACAGATGCGCCAGCAAGACGTGCACCAACAATTTGTCCTATTTTGAACTCTTGTTTGTCACCCATAATGTTGTGTGCGTTGCAATATTTTGAGCAAAACTGTGCTTTTACCCTGCTAACTGGACCTTCACAGTCTGCTCTTATTGGTTCAATGTGCAATTAATGAAGATTGGCCACCAGGCTGGTCCAATTTAGCCATGAAACCTCCCACACTAAAATGAGAGGTATTTCAGTTTCATTGTCCAACCCCTGTAGATACAGTTATATATATGTATATACATTTTTTTTTTCTTTACCTCAGAGTGAGCTGGCTGGTTAATCACATTTTTAGAATGATTTCCTAACATATTATTCTCTTTTTCTAAACCCAATTAACTCTTGTCTCGTTTTGAAACCAATAGGAAGCACACAATAATACAAGTCTCAAGAATAAGGGTCTGAAAACTCTGAAAATGTCCAACTACTCGCTTTTTTCTTCTTCTTAGAAAAATGCTTGCTATGTTTTGGCCTTTAGAGGGCTCACTTCCATAGCTGCTTGTCTGCTCTCATTGGGCCAGAGATAGTCTTTTACATGGGTGTTTATAGCTGCCAAAACCTACAGTCTGTTATTTAATGTCACTTTCTGTTTACTTATTCCACGGTATGCCAGCGGTTCAATGTCCATACAGCGTATGCCTTATCACAGATACAGGCTTGTTTACTATACGGGATAGTGGGGAAAGGGTTCTTATGCAAACAGTAGCTTGCACAACAGCAGGGATAAAAAAAAAAAAAAGGTTATATATGCTAAATCTACATATTGAGAAAAGAGAAAAAGCTGATTACACTGTTCATAAAAAACTTCCTGCAATAAAATAAAATGTCCACATGGTCACATCAATACAGAAAGTTACATAATAATGGCATCTGAGTAGGCCAAAAATAATTTCAGGAATTCTTCTTTTGTATCTGTGGTTTGTAGGAAAAGGGTAGATCAGTATAATTATATGTAATTGTTTGCTGGAAATATGTTGATATATATCAAAAGATTTGAGCAATTTATCCAAATGCATTGCTATGAAATCCAAGCAATGGCATGCACGTGAAGCATTTTATCTGTGTGTGTTTATTTCATATGACTGAACGTTATCTGCCAACAAATGTCCATCCAAATGTTCAGTGCGATCAAATGGAACAGACCATGGAGTCTCACTGAGCAGATCAATTGGTTACAGCGAGAACACTGTGAAATACGAAAACTTCTATGTACAATATCCCCCCTTAGGAGTGAAAAGGGTCAGCTTACTGTGTGGGTTAACAGGGTTATGTGCTCTCATCTCCAGTGATGTGGCTGTTTCCTTCCTCTACCTGCTGCTGCACAGACTGGGATGCTGAGGTGGGGGCTGGGGGGGGGGGGGGGGGTCAGTTTCCCTGAGCAGCAGCGCCCCTCGTTGCTGCTGTGGTTTAACCCAACACCCAGTGTCTGTGTGTGTGTGTTATTTACACCGTGGCGTTGGGCTGACGGCTCACACGTGTGTGTCGTGTTGTCTTTGTCTTGCTCTCGGCTCTGTGCGGGCTGAACCAGAGCAGCGAAAGGCAGCGTCTCCTACTTCCTAACGTTGCATCCTATTGCAGCATCTGGTCTTTGCACCGCGGGAGGAGTCTTCATATTCTGCACATCCTTGGATGCACCATGATCGGATCCCCGTAGCGAAACCTGCCCACCTGAAAGAAAAGAGGCTGGGACGATGCCCGACTCCAGCCTTTCTCCTCAGACGCGTGCTGGGTTGGTCTCTTTTGGATGATGCGCAAACGGGTTCGGTGGGTGTTTGTGTCTCACCGTGTTTTTGGAAAATCTCCGTCCCGCAAGGAGAACCGGGTTTTTGCACCGTTACCACCATGTCCCCAGCATCGGCTCCAACGGCGAGTGAGAGCAGCACCGCCACGGTCACTGAGGAGGAGGCGAGCAGTCCCAGGGAGGAGGTAAGGACCAATTGTTTGCACCGTGCGCCAGTTTTCCACGCACAACTGCAGGAGAAGCAATATCAGACCTCGACATTCGAAGCATATCGCATTTTATAGGCTGCCGATGTGGATACTCAGTCGAATTGACAGGCACCATAACAGCCACTCAATGTTTTTTTTGGCCTCTGTGGAAGTAACACAGGTCCCGGTGGGTCCACGCACGCAGCCGTGACTGTGAACGTGGATGGATGTGCTCCTTTTTGTCGCTTTGCCAGACTTGTTGTGTTCAAAGCGGGGCTCAGGGACCCATCAGGGGTCCTGGAAACGGCCCGGGCGATCCATAAGTGTGAAAACAATTTCCCCACAGGATGGAGGCTGATTCTGTTTTTCTCATTTATTCTGTTAAAGGCAAATATGTTGACCTAGATAAGACATTGCAAATTTGAGAATATTTGCTGCTTCTCTTATTCCCAGGTTCATTAAACACATGGATCACACCACAGTTAAAATATATATAAATGTACATTTAAACATTAAAAAGACTTCTTAAAAAAAGCTTTATTCTTCAGACATCTCTAATCTCACACTCTGGCTAAGTTACACGTCTATTACACAAGAGGCTTTTTATGTAATCTAGATGGTCTTATTATGTCAGGAGAAAGTATAGAAGAGTCTGAGAGGCACTTATTTAAAGACACTGGCGTAGCCTCATACGACATGAAATCTGTTTCTGACTTGAACTTTACTGAAACTGTTTTATGTTAAATGACTTCATGTGAACACGCTTGTATTCATTGTTATAAATTTATATATCAATAAGTTCATGGATATGGTTTTATACTTATCAAGTCATTCTATATCAGTGGGTAATTAATCCCTTTTTCCCTTGGGATGGAGGCTTAGCTTAGCAGGGTACCTGGGGACCACGTGACCAAGGTGAGGAGGATAATTATGGTAGAAAAACATCTGTTATTTATGTCTGTATGTAAGCCAGAGAGCACGGAGCTACCATGTTGGATTCAACACCTCAATGCAGTGGGACTGCTTGTGTTTGTCGTTGACGACAGAAATGTAAATTGCAAGTTTCAGACATATAGAGTTCCATATGTTGAGGCAAACCTGTCCTTCCATGGGGTTTTGAGTCTCTGCCGGGTTTGTGTAGCTGCGCTTCAACAGGGCGTGACTCGCTCTTGAGTTGTCGTTGTAGCAACTGGGACCTGCTGTGCCCCATGGCGATAAACGATGGCACCAGCTTTGTGATGCAAAAGTTAAACAAATGTATTTTCTTTCTGGCTGGTTTGGTTTCATGTCTGACCTATAGCTCTCTGGACTACTACACCTCCTCCTATAGCCTTTCTTTATAAAGTAAATATATCTGGAGTCATGCAGCGCAGCCATGTGCACGCCCACACACCGGCAGAAACGCAGCTTGCACAGTTACTGACATTAGGGTGTTTTATACTTTAACATTCATCTGGGCTTTCATTCTTGAAATTTTTATGATTACAGTCGGTGAATCCTCTGATTGCAACAAGCACAGACCAAGACATGAGCACGGAGCTTATGGCTCATGCATAAACTATGCAAAAGCACTCACAAAGCAGAAATTCAACTAAATAATGTATATCCATAATCCAAACTTTAAATCTTCCTGGTGTGCGGGTCACATTCGCAAACTTAGTTCTCTTTAAATGAAGAATTGATCTAAAATTCGAAATCAGATGAGCTTGTTGTTTACGCTGATGTGTTTCTTTTGTTTCTCCTCATCTTTATTTCTCTCCACATCTTTTGCAGCAACAGCCTCAGAAACAGTCTCTGACCAAATCCCTGTGCCAGGAAACCCACTGGAAATGCCTCCTGCTGTCCCTGCTGATGTACGGCTGCGTCGGGGTGATGGGCTGGTGCCAGGTGACCAAGGTCACGCGCCTCTCCTTCGACAGCGCCTACAAGGGGAAGTCGCTAATGTACCACGACAGCCCCTGCTCCAACGGCTACATCTACATCCCCCTGGCCTTCCTGGTCATGCTCTACGTGGTCTACCTGGTGGAGTGCTGGCACTGCTACGCCAGGAACGAGCTGCAGTACAAGGTGGACGTGGAGAGCGTGGCCGAGCGCGTGCAGCGCATGCAGCAGGCCACGCCCTGCATCTGGTGGAAGGCCATCAGCTATCACTACGTCCGGCGGACGCGGCAGGTCACGCGCTACCGCAACGGAGACGCCTACACCACCACGCAGGTGTACCACGAGAGGGTGAACACGCACGTGGCGGAGGCGGAGTTCGACTACGGGAACTGCGGCATCAAGGACATCTCCAAGCACCTGCTCGGCCTGGAGGGCTTCGCCATCACCAGGCTGAGGTTCACCAAGTGCTTCAGCTTTGCCAACGTGGAGTCGGAAAACTCCTACCTGAACCAGAGGGCTAGGTTCTTCACGGAAAACGAGGGCCTGGACGACTACATGGAGGCACGCGAGGGGATGCACCTGAAGAATGTCGACTTTAAGGAGTACATGATTGCCTTTTCTGACCTCAACCGCCCTCCCTGGTATGCTACTAACTCGGCTTTCTGGGTGGCAGCTGCCTTCACCCTCTCCTGGCCTCTGCGGGTGTTGACAGAGTATCGCACTGCCTGTGTGCACTACCACGTGGAGAAGCTGTTTGGTTTTGACTACGTGCCAGTGACACCATCCGAGGAGCGTCCGTACTGCAGACACATCCCACGGGTCAACACGATCGACAGCACGGAGCTGGAGTGGCACATCCGCTCCAACCAGCAGCTGGTGCCCAGCTACTCGGAGGCGGTCCTGATGGATCTGACCCAGCTCTCGGGCAGCTACTCCGCGTGCGGAGGCTACAGCGGCTACAGGCAGAACTGCGAGCGCTGCCACCGCGCCATCAGCAGCTCCTCCATCTTCTCCCGCAGCGCCCTGAGTATCTGCAACACGGCCAGCCCCCGCATCCCCTTCAGCGCCAGCCGCTTCTCGCTGGGCCGGCTGTACGGCTCCAGGCGGAGCTGCCTGTGGAGAAGCAGCGGGAGTCTGAACGAGCAGTCCGTCCCCACTGAGAGCACTCGCTGCCTGTCAGCTCAACAGAGCAGCGAGGAGAACCCCCCGGCCTATCAGGACGCGCTGTGCTTCCCGGTGCTTATTGTGCACCGCAACGAGGGATGCCTGAACCACAACCACCGCTCCCTGCACAGAAACGGCTCCTGTGTAGAAACTTCTCTCTGAAACCCCGCCCGCCACTTCTTAAGATACCAACTAGGGCAGAGGATCAGCCCAAGAGAGCCGAGGCTAGGATGATATGGGCCAATTTCTGTAACACGGGAGGTAATTTGACCCGCCTCCAATTGACAACAGTCGTAACTTGTTCACATTTTTCTTGAGATGATGGCACTGCAATGCAGACGACAACAAATAAAAACCAATAGTGTCTGGACTGGTTGCTGTAGCGCTGAGTCAGAGAAAAACTGAGACTTGATGAGACAGTTTGAAATATTTTGCTTTAAAAAAAAAACATGCTGCCTGAGTGTCACAGCCCCTAAAGCGTCCATAACAAGTCAGACAGCCCAGGAATAGCCAGGGGATTCATATCTTCCCATAAATACCGAGTAAGTGAGTGAAAACAGCTCAGTGTTTCCATCTTAAGGTTTTGGACTCAGCAGTGAGCTAGTCAGTTGATAATGAATGACAGGGAAATTAAAATGAATGGGGTGACAAGTGAGAACGTAATCACAGAGGCACACAAGTCATGTGATTTGCCCGAATCAGGAGGGGAAATTTTGATGACATCAACCGCATTATCGAAGTGTGACGAGCTAAACGCGTCTTCAGAAACTCAGCGAGTGAAGTTTCTCAGGCGTAAATATAGAATAAAAATATCTGCATGTAGAACATTTTGTTTGTCGCCAACTTAAATGTTCGCTTGCAGTCGATGGTGGCAGAGGTAGATTTCAGTATAAATGAAAATACAGCAAATGTCTGGGGGAGATAAAACAACCAGTCAGCAGAAATCAGCTTGTTTGCGATGACATTATCCTTCCTGCCTTGCCAAATATAGCACAGGAGGAAGATGAATAATTTAGTGCAACAGGGCTAAAGGACACATGAACTCCACGGAGACTCATCAACACTCTTTCAAACAGTTTAAATGCTTCATTTAGTGTAATGTAAAATAATAGATATGTTAATCTGTTTCATAATTTGACTATTTTTTTCTAATTCCAAATTTGGCACTGTTTTATTCAGTCTACCTCTTTGTTTAAGTGCCTGGTATCATTTCTGAGAACCATCAGCGACCACAATTTAAACCCTCTCGTTGAAGCGTACGCCCATTGAAACATGCAGAGCGGTAGCTCATGGAAAGTGGGCGTGTTCTTCTGTGCTTTGTCATTTCAGTTGAAAACGCAGGCTTTCAGTAACAACCCGATAAACTGATTTCAAATCTTTTTACTCATAATGGAGCGCAGATCTTGTAGGGCCTGCTCTGTGCTTCTTCTGCTGATGCATATCAGGCAGACAGCCGGAGAAACTAGAAATAGACAGAGGACTGGATTCACTACTGATAATGTCGCATGCAATAACTTGACAAGCTTGCTTTTTCAAGAACTAAAAAGTGCTTCATTTAACTGAGCGTGCACCATATAGATCATCATTAGAGCCAAATCATGCAAACTAATCCAGTAAAACAGTAATCTAAAAAGTGACTGAAGTTAGCGAGAAAATTGTTGAACAAACATGACCAGAACATTACAAAATGTTAACTGTTTTTTTGCCAGGTCTTATAATTAGCTACATTCGATCTCAGATATACAAAAGCATATAAGATATATTACACTGTGTTACTATTTAAGGAAAAAAGAAACTTAGCCAAAATGAGAAAATATTGCCAACACAATGCCAAGGAGGAAAGCATATCAACACAACACAAGCACCTCATACAAAGAGTCCATCAGGGTGGTGAAAGTGCTGATGGTCTGGATTTATTTTGCAGCCATAGGGACCCAGACACCTCCAGTCAAACACAAACTCCTCAGTCAACCATAGTAATCTGTGAGAGTATGTATCATAAAGTTAAGGCCTGGTTGAAACTGGGTCAGCCATCAGAAGAATGAACCCAAACAGAGCAGCAGAAACAGGATGGCTGAAAAAATGAAAAGAATCACGACAAAGGTCCTATACAACAATCGAACTAGTGAATAGTATTAGCTCTGCGCAGAGCAAGTCGGTGACTTGTGTACACAATAATGGGCTTGTGCTATGAATTGGTGCCATACTCAACATTCCCTGTGTGGTGTTCTGGACTGTATTCACAGCAATAGTATAACTTATAGAAAGTAATGACAGTGACTTGATTTGAAGGAAGAAAATCTTTAAAACCTCTCAATTCTTCATTGAACATCTTTTCATAACTCAATATCTATGCAAGCCCCCCCCACCCCCCAAAAAAAACAACTCAGGATGGTATTCAGAGCAATGAGTTATCATTGTTATCATCCTCACAAATTCCCTGTTCCGGTGGTGGGATTCGGTTGCAAAAATACTTAATTTTTCTGGTCGCATGGTGTTTGTGCTGAATTCTGTGCAAACAGGATGCTCAGCCCACCCGTTATGTCTTCACCAATGATCCCATCTCAGAAACACATTCAAACACGTTTGCACACTCGGCAAATCCTTCAGAATCACCACAGCCTGGTTTCAGCAGAGTGATTCAATGATTCAAACTGTACCATGAAGTCCCTTTGGCCTGAACTTTCCGTCTGCAGCGAGAACACTTCTGCTTCCTGGAATGTTATGACTTCAAAATCATGTGAGCTGAGCAAGACATGTCAGCTACTTTACAGCTTATGGTGCAACATAGTTCAATTTAGTGTATGACAATAATGTTTAGATTACTATTAGACCTAAACTAGGTTCTGGTATCTCTTAAGTTGAAATAAAAATAAAGTGTAAATGGCATATCCTGGGTTTAGACAAACAACGAAGTCATTCGTGACATTTGGCAATGTTGTTCTGTGTTAATTGCTTTCCAACCGGTGAGCAATTCCTCATTCCTGAGTCTTGATGAGCCGTGTCATGTATCAGCAGGGAACAAAACCAACATGCAAATCACAGAAGCCATTCAAATGTGCTGGAATCCTTTACATCTGACTCATGGGACAGTCATCCAACATGTGCTCGGTGGGTAAATGCTGGATTTCAGAGTCACACTTTCTCATTCATGATCAGCCAACTAGCCTCTACGGTGGCTTCACTGTGATATTCAGACATAGTCATGTGTGAGAAAAGTGGAAATATTGTGTTTACCAGTGCAATGTTTACGAAACATCATTTCGAGCTGAGGTATAAATTTGCAGAGGTTTGAGTGACCGACATAACTTTCCACTGTAGACGACTGTTAGAAGGAAGGCACTAAAGCACTAAGCCCTTTATCATGTCAGGTAGATTAGGTTGTGATGTGTGCTCCTTCACTAGAGAATGCTTCGGGGCTCATCTTTTTTATATTTCTTTACATCCGTGTAAGTAGGCCAGAAAGATTTTGTACTGTAAATTGAATAGAGACGAGAGCAATGTGAATATTGTTATCTGCTGAATGTGTCTCTCTCTCTCACACACACACGGTTTAATGTAGCTGCATCCGAAACAGTGTTGGTGTGAAGGTGTTAGGTGACCAGTTTAAAAAAAGAAACACAACCCTTAGTTCATTGCTGCACTGGCAACATTAACACCGTGCAGTTTATTTATTGATCGGACTGTAAATAATTCGAATTTTGAACATTAGGTTGTTTTGCTGAGGACGTCAGAATGGTCTGACTCGCTTCATTAGCTGAAGTGAACCTGCAGCACCGCATTGCATCTCTTCAAATGTTTCCAGAAAATAACAGCTGTTTTTTCTTTCAAGTTTAAAAACACGATGAGTTACACAACTCCTCTATTCATCAGTAGAAGTAGGATAATAAAAAAAAGTCTGTATGTATTTCAGAACCACCACAACGCTGCCTTGATGTTACATAAAGACTGAATACCAAATATGTGTACTCATAAAAATGTTCATTAAATGGAAATACTCACTGAAACATTTGCTCTGTGTTTTGATATTATTCGTTAAAAGCAAACCAAAAATGGCTGCACACTGTTCAAGTTTAAAACTCCAATAAAAGAGATCTCACTCACATATGTTTCTGTTGTTACTATGTTGTCAGTATGTGGTGATTTTCGATGAACACACGGTGCAGGCTATTGACTGATGAGGGCGGGTTTATTCTGATGTGCTGCTGATGTGTCCCGTTTTCCGCTGTCCAGCTTTCTTACCACGTTCCAAACTCTGGTTGTCCCACACCACCTTGCTGATGGAGGAAGCACTCTGCTCGTCCACTTCTGTCAGACGGATGTCGCATTCTGTTACACTGCTGTTGTGAGACATCGCCTCCGCCAAAGCTTTACCTCCGACCTGCCACACAAAAACGCACGCACCAACTTACTGAGAAAGTGAGAACTAACAAACACGTTGGCTCGGACGCATGTTCATGTTGCACACATCTGAGGGCAGCTTTGACGACCTTGAAAAATCACCAGTCGGCAACTATCGCCGTCTGAAATAGCCCCCGCTTTCCACACTGCTTGCGGCTGGTGTCATCAAGAGTGTTTGGTTGTTTCGTCTGAAATGGCCATTTCTATTTTTTGCACGGAGTGATTCAAGGTCGGGGATATTGATGTTGCTGCACGTTGGATTTCTGCTATGTGGGTGACTTCTGATCCTCTGCAGCATATTCCAGTCAGAGATACAGTAAACCATGAAGTCTTAAGGAGAGAGCAGAGTTCTCATCTCCCATGAGAAAACAACAGCTTGCTCTGATTTCCAATATAGTGTGTTTTCTATGAGAAATCCCCAGTCTTGTAAATGCTTTACAGATAATATCCCACTAATGTTTAAATTAACCTTGTATTGTGGAATGTAAATTTCCAGGATTTAGCTTGAAGCACATGCAGAGGTTTCCCTGAAAAGCATTGTGTCTGTCTATTTTTCCTCTGTGTCTCAGTACGTTATTAAATGTTATTTAACGTCTTACTAACCTCACCAAGCTTGTTGCAAGACAGGTTGATGCGTGTCAGGGTGTTGTTCTCTGCTAGCACTTTAGACAATGTGAAAGCAGTGAGCCAGGTCACGTCATTGCCTCCCAGGTGCAGGTGGCGCAGAGTTTTGTTGCTGAGCAAAGCCTTGCCGATGGCCTGACCCCCTTCATCCATCACGCGGTTGAGGCGCAGGTTGAGGGACAAAAGGCCGGACTTCTTGTACAAAGCGTGAGCTATAGCCTTGGCTCCCGGGCCGCCAATATTATTGTCACTCAAGTTGAGGACCTCCAGGCCACTCCTGGTGAGCAGTTTGCCGATGGCTCTGGCTCCACTGTCTCCGATCAGGTTGTGGGAAAAGTCTAGGACTCTCAGAGAGGGGTGGTCCAGAAGGTGTTTCACCAGCAGCCGACACTTTTTATCCCCCACCTGGCTCTGATGCAGCCTCAAAAGCTGCAGACACACATCCGCACAAGCGCATGCAAAGAAGCACCAACATAAAACTGAGATTTATGTGCTTTAGATCAAATACAGTTAGGTTTCAAAGCTGGCCTGAATGAAATAGAAATAATCTATTCTGTTTGTTCTACTTCCTTAAAAATAACATTGATTGCTAGTTGTATATAAGTACAGTTTAAAAAATGCCCCAAAACAGTGCTGAAACAGATAAAAAAAAAGGGTTAGACCTAATGCGTAAGGATGCAGTGGTACAAAAAGTGACCATAAATCAAGGAGAGGAATTGACATTCACCTTTAGGGTCTTACAGGTCTTAAGAGCCTTGGCGAGGGATTCGCAGTCTCTTTCAGTCATCTCAAACATCGTCCACTCAAAGTTCATGCCACATTGTTTGACACTATACATCAGATGTAGCTCCTCCAGCTTTTTCAGCTTGTCGAGCAGGATGCTGAAGTCAAAGTGATCCATGGAAGAATCTTCATCATCAAGCTCAATTACCAGCTCCGATTCATATTCTTTCTCCTCCTTCTCCCCATTGGGCTCTTTGATGGGCGGCAGCAGCTGGGAGATCTCCAGCCTCTTTACGTGGTCTTTGCAGACCCGGACCGTGTCCAGAACTGTCTGGGCCTCAGTCACACCTGGGACAAAGAGCTCGACGACGTTCTCCAAATGCCTCTCGAAGAACATTCGTTTCCAGCTGTATTCATAACGTGAGACATCACAATTGTCCCACCTCTGCCGGCAGCATCGTTTCCAGTAGACACCATCAGGCACCACCTTGGCTGTCACGTGCAGAGGAAGGGAAGGGGACAGCCTCTCTTGGATGAAGTCTTTCTCGACAGGTCTAAGTTCTTCAAAAATGGGCCTTTCTGCAAGACGAGAGCAATCATCAAACATCACCTCCTTTGCTGGCTTGGCTTTGAATAGGTGTGTGAAAATGTGACTGAAAGCCAAAGCCTACCTTTAAAGTTGTTAACAATGCACCGCAGGCAGATGTTTGATAAACAAGGAACAAGGGATAGGGACCAGTTTGGGTCTTCGGCAATGATCCTCCTCATCCTTTCAGACCGACCACTTGAAGATTGAGCCTATTCTAAAATGCGTAGCCGTTCATACAAAGCGAAAAACACGGCCAGAAAAGGCTAATTGTTTGCTAAGTTACTGCTAGCTTACAACCACTGGTAACGGCTGACCCGTCTCCATGGAGACAGAACGCGCTTAGCCTTGTTTATGGTTTCAGGGAAATGGTACGTTTCTGAAGTTTTCAGCGTAAACAGAGGGGTAGAATTGTGTTCTTAGAGGTAAAAATCCTTTCTTCTATGTGGTATATAGCCTACATTAGAAAACCACATGAAAATGCAGACAAAGTTGTTTTTAACTTTTTCAATGGAACTTTTTTCAAACAAAAGTTCCATTTCCGAGTATCACTAAACATAACATTTTTCCTAAGTGGTCCTACTAGATTTTAATTTAGACAAATTATCTATTTCATGAATGATAATAATCAAATGATTATTCATAATTATAATGATTCACAATAATTATTAGTTTGATAAAACTCAAGGTGTAATGATAACACATGAATTAATCACTGATATTTAAACAAATAAACATACTCTGAGAGTAATGATGAGAGTGCATGTGTTTTCAGGTTTGTACTGGGCAGTGTGGGGAAGCTTAGATCATGCTGTGAACCAAATTCAGATTTTACAAAACAACCAGATGGACATCGGATATGAATCATGGACATGTTGGATGAAAAAACTCTGGAAATATTCCATCTATTTTACAAACAGCAAGACAGAAAACGGGAGACATCTCTATAAGAGACTTGGAGTTATGAGGATGTTTTACAATGCATAATTTACAGTCAATTTTGTTGCACAAATAGCAGACACTGGGATTGCACTGAAACTCGTTTAGTTGTCTTCTGTGTTAGCTATAAGATCTTTCAATCTGACATCTGACTAGTTGAGTAATGTTACACATAAGCCTCAAAATACATGAAAGACCGAATTAAAACACCCATATCTATTTTTTTTTCTTACTCATATTTGCTGCAATTAAGCTTTTTGACCAGATATTTCTTATGCATGGGGCTACAACTGCATGCATCAGTCTTTGTCATCATAAGCACTGTATAAAGAATCAATAATCAGTACATAGTACTGGATGACTCAATTACAATGGCTTATTTGTTACAAATGAATTTTCCTCCACATCTATTTGGTTGATCCACTCTTATTCCATCAGGGGAAACGGAATCCCGTGATCATACCGTATGAGAACATTACGCAGCATCTCTGTCTCTGTCTGTATGTTTGAGCGCACAGAGCGTGCGCGAGAGAGTGATGGCTGTTATTGGTACCCTGAGCTTGCTCTGGGAGTCAGACGTTAGGTCGGATGCAGAAATGAGAGGCTCCAACTGTAGCCCCGAGGCGGTCCATCAGTGTCGCCCCCATGTAATTCGGCCTGACAGACACACGCTTCCCGCACACTCTGCCTTTAATGGACTGCCGCGGCATCGGCCAGCACAGGAGGCAAACTCTCTCTGGGAGCTCATGTCCCAGTGCACTGTGCCGGCTGACGCCACTGTGGGGTGAATCACAGCGTTAGGAGTTCCAGCGTCACATTGGTGTTATACAGGTTCAATTGCCAATATGTGTCTGTTGTTTTGGAGAGGAAAAAAAAAACACAGCATGATTCAGCTGTCAAATATTATAAAAGAAGCAAAAAAGAAAATCGGAACAGAAGACCATAGTTGTGGAAGTTTTTTGTGACTTCCCCCTGCATGCAACATACAAAGTCCTGAGATACTCCGATGATTGTACAGACTAATCATGAGCTCCAGAATTATTAGTTAGGATGAATGGTCATTTTGGATGGTTTAAGTTCGTTCACAAACATCCAGATAATGGACTTTAGATAGGAAGACTACAGAAAGACTATACGAAGACAATTGAATTTTTCCTCTTTTTGACATTCTTTTGCATTTAACTGTAACAAATATCAGTTTGTTTTTATGAAAAAACATTTCTCATACCTCAGTCTTTCAGTGCATTGCGTGGATAACCAGTGTTGCCCACGTGGTTTTAAAAAATGACCCAGAGCAGCTTTTTCCATTATAAATCATAGCAGAAAAAAAGGCAAAAAACCTGGTCAATGAACCTGAGTAATGGGTAAATTAACTTATGTGTCCTTTTGAAATGTGACTACTCGAAAGTATTTAAATTCTTCTTATGCATGAATAAGAAAAAAAAAGAAACTTGAATGTTTTATTTTGATACAGTGATAATTCTACACAACTTTCCATCTGCCTTACTTTATAGTGCAGCTTGAATCTTACTCAACGCATGTTTTACATAAAAGCTTCAGTCCTGGAGATCTGAACGCATGCTGCCATTATTTATAGTATTTTAAGCTCCTGACAAAAGCTTGGGCTGTGTACCGCACATTGTGAGGACCTGGTGCTTTACCACTGAAGCTGGTGCCATCGCACCTCCATTTGCTTTCACAGCCCAAGGAGCTGTCGCATTAGTTGCTAGGCAACACAGCCAAAGTGAGTGTGTGAATGCATGCAATGTCTAAGACAGGATTTGGCACAAATTAAGAACCTTTTCCACTGATTCCTGCTGCTATAATACTCTTTTCCATATTTGTCTGAACACTATACTTATTTACTGTTTGTTTATAATGTTTTTTTTACTGTTTACCTATTTACATTCACAAACATGTAATTAAGAAACACTGTCCTTTCCCGTTTTTAAATCTCAGCTTTAAGCAGAGAACCTGAGAAACTGCAGCTGCAAAGTGAGCAGAGAAAGAACCAAACATTTCTTTCAGCATCCAAACACCTGAAATCAGTCTTTGGTTTGTTTTCATGAGGCGGAACCAGTGAGAGCGGAGGTAAAATCTGGAGGGTGGCCAGCGGGGGTGATTAATGCTCCTCATTTTCTGCAGCCTGCCAGCAAAGCTTCACAGTCAGTCATGTGTCGAGGTGACTGCCCAAACTGCAGGGCGCCGCTAAGCTAGGACGCGTGCCAGCCTCTTTCACGATTCCAGTTGGAAAACAAATATTACTCTTAAAATTTTAACATTTTATGAAACGGCTTCTTAAGCAGAATCAACTAAAAATAGGAATCCCTGCTCATCTTCCAGTAGCATGCAGCCAAATCAAATGCATCCTGGTTACTCAAGAAAGTTCCATGGCTTGCCCATGTGTGATGTTGTTTTGGGACCTCGTCTCAGATGGTAGCAACAGATCTGATATTTAAACAGAAAAAGCGCTGGTTTATACAGCTGCCTGGCCTTTAAGCAACGTCTTAGGAAAACTTTAAGGATGATTATGCCACTGGAAATTTCAGGCGGCTTTTAAAGTCATAAAGCTGCAGCTTGAGAGGACCATAAATGGGAAGCTTACGTAAAAACCCTTAAATCATCTGACAACACATGTTAAGGTGAGGATCACCCAAACTATTTGGATTAATCCCTTTCAGCCCTATGAGCGATACTGCAGAGTGGTGGATCAGACTAATTCCTGTCTATACAGCGACCTTTTATCTATTCTTTTTGTCATGTTCAGACTCTCAGAGAGGATTTGATTCTAAATGCCCTGAATGTCATCCTCATGAAAAGGTTTGCTTTCATAGGCTGACAAATGAAGTCAAGCAGGCGTCAAAGAGAATGTTTACTATGAAATTGTGGATTAGAATATGGACTTTATAAGGTCAGCAGACAATCAGTCTTCATAGCAGCGTACAGACGGGAGCTAAGGCCAAACTGCATAAAGATATTTTATTACTTTTGCTGAAAACCAAGACAGTAACACAACTAATAACTTTACAAAAAGAAACGTGGACTTGTGTTGCGACCTTATACTTTACACTAAATCCCCATTCCTGGAAACATCTCAGGGAAATTGGACAGTCTTCACCTGAGAGTCCGATTCCCATTCCAGCCCACGAGAGAAACGGGGCTAATCTTCCGAATCATCAAAACAATCATCGTCCGAGTCCAAATGGATGCTACTGTCCGTGTCCACCGAGACCACGGAGCTGAGGCAGCTGTATATGGACACCATGCTGTCCTCGCTGTCGCTGGTCCTGCTGCTGTCGTCATCGTGGATCACCATAACTTCGGTGACATCAGCTGCTGGGACACACACAGAAACGCGTTTGTCCTTCTGAGCCACATCCATGTTTTGAACATGAAAGGACACATGGTCACTTGTTCTCTTATAATCTCATAATAATAAACGCATTTTTAGAGAAGACAAATGGAAACTCTGTCCATTTTTAAGTCTTTGAAATATGACTTTTTGGGCAGTGGGATGTTTGGGCGCTGAATCAATTTTTAAAAGTGTCCGGAACTGGGCGTGAATGTTAAAGAAAATAGTCGGACGCAGATCCTCCCAAAACCAGACATTGTGTTGAAATATGTTTCCCTCCAGAAGAGTGGTGGTGTTAGAGTAACTGACCACCTCTGACACAGCACCATGAGCAAACTCCTTCCTATCATCTACAACTAACATTCAAATCCTATTTTCCCTGTTCTGTCTGGGCACACATCGCATGTTCCCTTTCAGCACTACACTGCCTCAAAGGAACGGACCAATTTTATTCTGCGAGGATTTGGGTCTCTTCAGATAAAAAAAAGAAAAAAAAAGACTTGAAAAAAAACCCCCTTGTGCTGCCCCCTTGTGTTTGAAGTGTCCCTCTGCTGCACATTAAGGACCCTCTACCCCTCTGCTCTGCACAGAGCAGAATCACATACAGAAGGAAAGGCAGCTGAAGTAGCCTTCCTCTTTAGAGGCCTTGCAACCACATTTCTTTAACTGTTTTAAAAGCCTACGAGCAGCTTCACTGCTTCGTCTGAACTTTCTACACTTCAGTGCTTGCTGCTGAGGGTGAGAAAGACACCTGTCACATCTGAGCTCTCTCACAGATGTCAGGACTTTCCAGCCATTTGAATGCAGCAGTGCCCACCGCTGACAGGGCGCTCACAGTCAAACGTCTTTTTTTTTTCCAGCGGTCATGGGCACGACTGTAACCCAATCGGGGCATTTTTGTTTGGGTACTAAACGTTCATTTTTACTTAATATCACAAATGTACAATGTGTTGCACATCACAAGGGATTAATTTTCCTTTCTAACATGGCCACATGGCTAAAAAGCAAATAATATAACTGAGTTTGTGAAAATTCAGTGTATAAATACCTCCCACACCCCTAACAGGGCAAACAGCCTCCTGAACCAGACTGACCGACTGTTTCTGTATAATATTCCCAGAAATAATTCAAAGCTCTCCACTGACCTGATTGGATGGCTTTTTGGCCACAGGCCTGTTCACCTGAAAGATGGAAAAGTCACTTAAGGAAGAGAGCTGAGTGTAATGTATTGGTGACATTGTTGATGAACTGTAAAACAAAAGTATGATGGTTGCTAAAGTCTTGCTGGGTTGATTTCACTTTCAGAACATACAGAGCCAGAATGTTTTAATGAGCTGAAAAGAACAGTTTATGAGAGTAAATTAAGCCTGGTTGTGTTGCCAGCTGGTGGCAGCAGAGGCTGCGGCTTGTTGCCGACCTAAACCGCCAACCCTACAGTAGAAGAATTTGTTTTCGTCAGAGCTAACTGGATCTATTGGATCTTGAGGATTTAATTTAATCTCAGGATACTTTCTAACACTTAAGAATACAGCGATCGGTCCAATTCATTTAGCTGTCTGCTGACTCAGACTACAGAGAGCTGGAGAGCTGCCTGGGTCCTCCTCATAATGGTAAAAACCACCTTAAATCAGAAATGGAACTTTTCTGTACATTTGTGGAAGCTTTTACCAGTTCGGAGCATTTTGTTTACTTTCCCGTAGCAAGAATATCAAACAATGCGATGCAGTAAAGGTTCTCCCACTACCTTAACCAGATGAAAGGAATCAGGACGCACCTCTCACCTTTCCTCTCAGTGACGAGGGTCTGCCGCCTGGCCTTCATTTCCAGGCTGAGGTTTTCCACCATGCTGTCGATGCAGTTGTCCAGAGCCAGGCACCGGGTCTGGGACTGGATGGTTTGTCGGCAGATGGGACACTCGTCCTTCTTTTTGCGCCACTGCTTGATGCAGTAACTGCAGAAGCTGTGAGCGCAGTTCAGGATGACAGCCTGCAGGTCAAGTTCATTTCATGTCAGGGCTGCTCTAAAATACAAAACCTACTTTTTTTTTGTGACAGCATTGCAATCTGTCTGATTTACTGTTTGTGCGACTGTGAAATAAGGATTTAAAACAAAGTTAGGATGCAGATTAAGAAGTGATTTTACCTCGATGAAGAGCTCTGAGCAGATGATACACTGAAGCTCGTTCTCTAGAACTTCAGTCACCTGTGTGACCACCTCATCTTTTTGGGCTTTTGCCTTTTCTTTCTCCTCCTACAAATATATACATATATATATTTAAAAAAGCCTCAAAGGTGACATTCAATTAGAAGTGAAAATGTGAAAAAGGGCAACGACAAACTCCATTTATCCATACCTTTGTCACCTCCAGTTCTTTGTTTTTGGCTGACAGAATCTCTTCAAATGCTTGTCGAGAGAGTGCAGGTTCCACGGTCTCTTTCTTTAGCTGACAATGTGGAAAAAAGGTTCCTTAGCAGTGAAAATCTACTTCAATTTTGATAAAACATCAATATTTATTGATATGCTTAGCTAACAAAAGGCACTTTTTCTTATCTTTTATTAGGATTTAAATATTAGTTAGTCTGAAAATCACTGTGTGGTGTTTTTATTGACATTTTTCAGTGTCCTGACATTTTTCTTGACTGAACCAAAGGAAGATACTAAAATGTTGTGGCACCTTGAAACAACTGGTAAGCAGTTCGGATTTAAGCTTCTCACCTCTTGTAAAGGTTCATTCTGCTGTTTTTTCATAAGCTCCTGCTGATGCGTTTTCTGTTCCTGAATTGATGCAAAGGCACACATTGATTTAAGCCAGCAGTCTTTTTTCACATTGGATTCCTAAAATTAAATATGAATAACCCCCTTGTAACATGTATGACTTCACATACTACATGGTATGGGGGAGGATGACTACTGTTCTTACATGTAGTCTCCCTTCTCTTAACGAAGCCTGGCATTAAGGAAAATCTACAATTTCTGGATGTTGTGTAAAAAAATAAATATATCTATGAATATTAAAAAAAACTTGTGCACAGTGCGATAAGAAAGACAAGACGCACTAAACGAGATAAGTGACTTAGCCCAAATGACCAAAAATGGTTTTCCTCTTATAGTTCAACTGAATTTTAGATTTATGCCTCAAGGTTTCCAAATGAACACCTCAAGAAACCCAGCAGCCGCAGTTATTAGGGAGACAAGGAAGCACCTCACCTGCTCCTGCAACTGTGGTTCACTGAAGGACTTCTTTAGCGTCTCGCCCATCCGGTGCATTCTGGATTGGAGGGTCTGCAGCTGATCCTGCAGCTCTTGGACCTCCCCCCCTTGAAGTGGGTCAGTGGGTTGAGGGTCCGCCTCCAGAGAAGCAATCTGTCTCTGGATGTTAGCTGCCTGCTCTCTTAAACTTTGAATGTTCCAGGTGCATCTTCAAAGAAAAAAATGACAGACAGAGTCATATTTGAAAAAAAAAGAATAGTTAAATACCTGATTATTACTAAACTAAACATTGGAGGAAAAACGATTAGCAAGAACGTTTATAACGGGAAAGCAACAAAGAAAACGCAACAAAGAAGACTTTTTCTATTTGTTATCATCAAAACTTATAGCACGTGTATAGGTTTATATAAAGAGGGTAAGTTCCAGGCTGCCGTAACTTTTATCAGTATTATGACACGGAGGCCAAACTTTCTTTTCAGTTGGGCTTACATCTGCTGCTGGTCCTGGTCACACGGAGAGCTGGAGCCACCAGAGGACTGCTCTTCCTCTTTGACTGGCCTGCTGGATGGAGTCATCTCTGACTGCGTTTGACCGAGCGGCTGTGGAGAATTCTGTGCAGATGGAGGATGGGGCTTTGCAAAGGACTTATCTGCAGGAGACCAGCGGTACAGCTTAGGCTTCGAGGTGGAAGGCTCCACTTCTTCCACAGCCAACTTCCTCTTGGACTTCCTCGCCCCGTGGGGCGCTTTGGCACCCTCTTTGTGTCCCCGTGCCAGGCAGAGTTTAACATCTTTGAGGGGCCGCTGCACGAGAATGTAGTCAAATTCCACAACAGTTCCTGACAGAGGAACTCCGAGTTGTATGGAGTCTCCAAGTCTGAGAAGATGGGCCTTATATGCAGGTATGCGATGTCCATTTACCCAAACGCCATTGAGACTCTGAAAGAAATAAGGCAAGAATGTGTTTATCAAGTGCTGCTATTGATAATATCTAGGAATAACTTTGTTTTACATGTATTCTCTTATTTGGATTAAGTCAAGATACTACAAGTATCTAAACGGTACATAGACATCTAATTTAGTTAACTTAATATTAAATTCTTAGTCTTAAGCCAAGATAGGGGTCAGCATGACAGAAACATTATGTAGGTGCTGGTAAATTTGAGCGTGTGAGCAACTAAAAAAAACATTTACGATTACCATGACCTGGGTTGCCTTTAATAAGTTTACAATACGTTTACACCGACACGAGAAAACATGTACAAAGATATTCAAGATACATGTCGTCGGAAACTTGGTCACCTGGGTGTCCGTCACTGTCCACTGGCCGTCGTCCCCCTGCTTGAAGGTACAGTGAAGCCTGGAGATCATGAAAGGACACTTTGGGGAAATCAGCTGGTAGGTTACATCCACGCCACGTCCAACAGTTATCTGCACAGTCAAAAACAAACACACTCTGCAGCCCTTCAAAACGTTTCAACAGTCGAACTATGACCACCTGCTACGCTGGCCATAGGAAACATTTATTTCACTATACTTTAACAAGGAATATATTCGGTATTTTTGTTTAAATCTCTAATGGACATGATGGAGCTTCAGGGTTAATATAACTTAAGCTAGTTAGCTAACGTTAGCAAACTGCACCTCAGTGTTTTCGAACAAGCGAAGCCATTCTGAATTTTTTCCGACTCTCATCAAACAGAAGACCTCCGTATCTGAACATTCATCCTCCTCAGCAGCACACGACTCAGTCGGTACACTCTCCATTTTATCTCATTGTGTTAGCCGCCAGCTCGACCCACAACAGCCCACCGTTGTTCGGTGCTCTTCTTCCTCTTCTTCTTCTCTTTTTTTTTTATGGCGGTTGGCAAACAACTTTTCGGTGCATTACCGCCACCTTCCAGATTGGAGTATGGATTCAACAATCTTTTAAATCCTTCCTAATGCACCCGTTCTTCTTAAAAAACTGAAAATATTTCCAAAAACCACATCCCCAGATGACCTTTGAAATAAATCCTCAATATCCAATTTGATTTTATTCCTACCTAATTCCCTACGTAACCCCTCTCTTTCTTGATTATACTTATTGCATTCCAAAAAACTGCAGTAAAGTTAGCAACATATTCACAGATTTGCGCTTCCCGCGTCAATAACTTGTAAACGGGACATTTTTAAAACACAGCCAATGCCTCTTTACAACTGTAGTAGCTCACACAACGAACTACAACCTCATTTTTATCTAAATAAGCCGTCCTCTGCGCTGCTCCGACAACATTGATCTCCATGGACACTCGGCGTTGAGACGAGTGCCCAGGGACCATCAACAAATTTCAATAACGAAAAATTATAGCACAAAAGAAAATCAATAACTAAACTCCCATATATTGTAGCCTCCCCAAAATCACTGTACACATCATTCAAACCCTTCTGGTGATACTACAACTTTTGTTATATTAAGAAGAAACTTTTCAATATTTTTATTAATATTTTTGGGAATAAATAATCAATAACTAAACAATGTTGAACTGTAGCCTCACCAAAATCACTGTGTACATCATTTACATCCTCCTGGTGATACTACAACCGTTATTTAATCAATAAAATAATTTTTCATATTTCTTATGAATATTTTTGGGGATCCATAATCAATAACGCTAATATTATGAATGGTAGACTCACCAAAATCACTCTGTACATCATTTGTATCCTCTTGTTGATACCACAACTCTTAGTTAATCCATAAAATCATTTTTCATATTTTTTATGAATATTTATTTGGAAGAAAATCAATAACGCAAATATTATGAATGGTAGACTCACCAAAATCACTCTGTACATCTTTCACATCCTCCTGTTGATACTACAACTCTTATTTAATCCATAAAATCATTTTTCATATTTCTTATGAATATTTTTTGGGATCCATAATCAATAACGCCAATATTATGAACTGTGGACTCAGCAAAATCACTGTGTACATCGGTCACACCTCCCTGGTGATACTACAACTGCTATTTTATCCATAGAATCATTTTTCATATTTTTATGAATATTTTTTGGGATCCATAATCAATAACGTCAATATTATGAACTGTGGACTCACCCAAATCACTGTGTACATCGGTCACACCTCCCTGGTGATACTACAACTGCTATTTTATCCATAGAATAATTTTTCATATTTTTATGAATATTTTTTGGGATCCATAATCAATAACGCTAATATTATGAACTGTAGACTCACCAAAATCACTCTGTCCATCATTTGTATCCTCCTGTTGATACTACAACTCTTAGTTAATCCATAAAATAATATTTAATATTTTTTATGAATATTTTTTGGGATCCATAATCAATAACGCCTATTATGTGAATGGT